AGCCCACTTAAATTTTCACACAGATTTTGAAACTGATTGGCCTTGGCATTTCAGCTGCAGAATCTTGTCCCTGACTCAGAATTTAAATCCACAACCCACTGTAGACTAGGCCTAAGGAGCAGGCCTAGTCTACTCCTAGTCTACTACACAGCAAAAATGACATAAAATAAACATACAGAGTTGAGAAAAATCCCTTAATCCCATTGTTCCTTTGCACATCTGTGAAGACAGAATCAACCCCTTACCTCCTAAGTGCTATGTTCAAAAAAATTCAATGAATAGAAGAAGACTGTTGAGCATGATAGATCTGCACAAGAAGCTAAGTGTGAGGAAGGCAGGGCAAGCTGTAAAAATGGAAGTGAAACCTTTTGATCAGAATACTGCACAAATCTTTGGATCTTTTTGTGTCCAGCCTGAGGTTTATCGTATTATTCTTTCCCTGGAGGAGGAAACCTATAATGGCAGCAGGCCTTAAAAGAGACCCAGTGTTGGGAATGTTTTAATGAGGTTCATCTATGTACAGACAAGGCATGCATGCATGCAAATTATGTAGAAAACCATGATTTAAATGTCGTATTACTGATTAGTGATTTAAATCAAATCCACCCTCATCCAAAATCATTCAGATGCACTTTGTTTCTTTTTATGCCACTATCTTAGAAGAAAAGGCCTCAAGTTCTGTAGTAGTCAAATGGCTCAACACATATATTCCCACAGCATATTGGATCAATATTTAGCTAAAGCACCCCATAGCTCCCTCCAATAGAACAGCAGCTACATTCACAGCTCTTTCCACCCTTACATCCCCTCACTAAAGAAAACATTTGCTAAGTACCGCTAGCTATTCTCTTTGTCTTAGTAGAGAGCTCTTCTGGGAGAAGAGTGCTACAGGACATTCTTCCTCCTGCTCAGCCACTTTTTCATTCTTTAAACATTGTCGTAAGTTGTGCACATCTCACTGTTGCAGGTTTGTGGAAAGAAAGTAGGGAGGGGGTGTATTCCCCTATGCAGTCCCCATAGGCAAGATTATGTTAGGCATGGGGCCATGTTTCATGACACAGTTTGATTCCCAGCTGACATCATAGGGTGAGGACAGACCAGAAGCTGCATCTATGCATTGTTTGCCTTCCTGATTTGTTAATGTGTGGTGCACAGAGAGAAGGGACCACGCTGACAATTGCAGGAACTATGGCTAGTGCTGACTGAGTACTTTGATTGCCTTTACCTTTCCTATTAGATTAAGGTGAGTTACCAGCAATGTATATATAGTTGGTTGGCTTTTACTGGAGTTCTGGTAAGTGCTAATCAATTGTGCAGGCACTGGTCCCCAAATGGTATTTCTTTGAGGAAAATCTTGTTGGTTCTTCCATGCTGCTCATTGGTGAATCTCCTGGATACTTCTTCCTCAAAGGGGACTAACTGGGTGGATGATTAGCCCCATATTTCAGTTGGGGCAGCTTGGCTTGCACACTCCTTCCCTATGGTTAATGTTGACTAGGAACCAGATGATGCCCACTCGAAATGGATTCCTTTCTTCCTCATCCCCAGCTTCCCAGTTAGTTTCCAAATCAGGTGGCCAGAACTTGAGTAGGGAGTCAAGGAGCAAGTCCAGGGCTCTGCAGGTTGGACAAGATAGAAGTTTCCTGTCCCTACACCAGTTATAGAGAATCGATTGTTTGAGTTTCTTCTGGTCCAATGTGACAGAAACATCTGAGCATATCTTTCCTTATACATTTGATCCAGTCTAAGATATTTTGTTTGCATGGGTCTTTCATCTTTCAACATCAGATTGGCTAGTTGGAGACAGAGGAATGGTTTTACTATTTTTGCTCTATATAACTAGTCCCCTACACTTGTACTCAAGTCTCACACTTGGCTTTTGGATGAAACTGGAGAAAAGTTTGTTTACTGGATCTACTGTGGAAATCTAGCCTAGATTACCTATGGCTTTCCTGTGTAGTGGGAAAATACAACCCAGTATTAGATGGTTCTGTCACACCAAGCCATGGGCTGTTGATGTCACCCCCAATCCCCTAAAAATGCAGGGAGGAAAAATTATCTAGGAACAAGACCTGTACTTCTTGCCATGGAAGTCTTATTCTAGAGCATCTTTAAAGCATTCTAGAAAACAGTGCTTGAAGGCTCTTGCATTTTAGGATGCTCTACGAATGGGGTTTCTATGGCAGAAACCGTGTTTTCTCTGTTTTATTTACTGAAAAAAATCCACATAATGGAGTAAGACATATCAGAATCATTTAGGAAGCATAGATTAGGAGGAGGAGAAGGGCTAATAATTGAGGTTGCTGATTGGTTTGAGGTATTTTTCTAGATGGAAAGCTTGGTTTTATCTAATCAGAGCAAGTGCCCAGCCTGTGAAATACTGTTGGGTTGTAGGAATTGGATTTGAATGAGCAGTACATGTGTGTTGGTGGTGTACTTTATGCATTTATGTGAGCAGCATGTGTGCATATACAGTGCTGCTATCCCAGCAGATACACATTGTAGCCCATGGTGCTGAAAAGTTTGTGCACCCCTCCTCTACGCACAACATGGATAGTTTAGTGCACTCTGTATAAAGAGGAAGCAGTAGGGATTATGTGATCATGGCTATAGATTGATTAGACTTCATGCAAGAGGTCTTCTGCCATTTTGTGGAGCCCAAAGGAAGAATTTTCAAACTTTTATGAATGTGGAAGTTTAGGGGGTTTACTTAAGCCCTTTGGGATGTTTCCATTTTGTTGTTTGTTGGGTCAACTAATTGTCTTAAATAGTTGATCTGTTTTGACCATTCATAAAAACTGCCATGATTTTTTCCTGCAGACCTTTGTACTGTGCATGGCCATGTGAATATAGCTGTTTTTTCTGATTATGAATACTGCCTTAGATTAGGGTGGTTCTGTACATGAATACAAATTGTTTCTCCTTGGTCTGGCTTGAGAGAATTGAGGTCTAGTGTACTTTCCTTTTCTATGCCTTGGAAGAACGTTAGTAGGGAATTGTACTGACACTGCACAATTAAGAATATATTCTAACTTATTTAGGTTTGTGATTTGAGTAAATGCAATTGTACTGTAAATCTGTGTTATAGATAAGAATTTTTGTATACTGTCAGACAGCCAGTCTGAAAGAATGATAGCTGCTATTTGAAAAAAAAAAAAAACCCTCAGCAGACTGCCATATAATGCTTTGACTTTAAGATATTTGTATTTTCTGAATCTAATAGAAAAATAAAAATAATTGAGAGCAAGTGACTGTGAAATACAAGATGTATGAAATAACATTGGACATTATAACTGTCTTGGCTATGAGGGGGATACATAGGCAAGACAGAAAAATTGTCTTCAAAAATTTGTCAGTTGGAGGGGAAAAATCTTGTTATCTGATGCCATTTGTGGCACTGTGTGTGCGTGTGCATGCACAAGGCCTTTTTTTCCTGCAACAGACTAACAGCAGCCCTTCAAGCTTTTTTTACATGTAAGAGTCGCTTTGCACAATATCAGCCCTGGGTCTTGTCCCTACAATTATAACAAATGCAGAGATGTTTCTTAATGTTGATTTTTAAAAATAATTTTACCTAATCAAAAACTTCTGCAGATTCTTCTGATTTAAAGCAATAAAGTGTGCTGTGTATTAGCATAATAAACTAAAATCAAACAAATATACTTAAGAGCCTGTCAACATCAGTTATGTACACTCACACCTATACTTTTTTACCTATTGTGACACATTGGGACACATAGGGGATATTGGAAGTTGTCGGGTGTATTTCTGCTGAAAACAATTTGCTTCTACTGTAGGGGGCATGGAGGTATACTTGGCCATCTTTCCGTAAACCTTTTCATTAGATGTTAATCCTACTATTATTGTATTAACTGGTAGTAAATAGCCTAAGAACAGAGAAGTTTGGATAATACTGAATTATCTGTCTGGATTCTTGCCTGTATTAATTAATGTATTAAACTTGTGTTTTCCCCATTAAGAGTTCATCTGAATTTTTCAAAATACAGTGGGTTTTCATAAACCAAGTTTCTATTTTAATTATCATGGTAATAGCAAACTCAGGTGCTGACTGCTGACAGAATTGTAGTGATAATGGGGACAGTGAGGAAAAAGGGTGATTGTATCCACATGCCTGGGAGAATCCTAACATTTGCAGAAGTACAGAAGATCTTTCTGGTAGAGAAGGCAAAAAGGAGGCAAAATTCAAGGAGGCAAAAACCTTAAATAGGCCCCTGAAAATTGAGCACATGTGCTTTGTAGCTACAAAATATAGAGTGACAGTTTTAGAAGAAAAAGAGTATGGGCACTGAAAAGTAGAATGTCCTGCTTGTACAGCATGACTGTTTGGAAACCTGAATAGAGTACCACTTACAGGAAAGAGGGTGCATGTTGTTGCAGGGCACACAACAATTATCTAGGAAATAATTTGTACTAGTTGTGATCTTTCTGAAACCCCACAACATAACAGATAACATAATATTTGACCAATTCTTGATAAATTATTCTCAAAGAGTACTGGACCAAAACAAATCCTTTTCTGATAATGAGCCTTCTTTGCTATTGACATATCAGTAAAGTGTTGTGTTTTCTTGGGAAGGCAATTCAAAATATAGCAGGTTTTGCACTGTCTTTAAAAGTTGGACCCATTTTAAATACTAGTTTCCATGACGGATGAGTTTGGCACTTGCTTGCTTTACATTACTTCTTTCTGTTTGCTTTGTGTACAGCAACCTTTCCCATCCTGGTGTCTTCCAGATGTTTGGGACTTCAGCTGCCATCAGCCACAGGCATGAGCAATAGTCAGGAATGCTGGGAGTTCTACTCCAAAATATGTGGAGTGCAGGGAGCAAGTTAGGAAAGACTGACCTGGAGCCAATCGCATTTATTAAACTTAAGAACTCAGGCACCAGCTACATTTAAAAAGCTCAAATCACATAAAATTGTTTTAATTACATATATTATCTGTGAAGAAAAATAACTGCCCTCTTTGTTAATTTTAGGGGGAATCAATAAAATACTTTCTGGACAACTTGGATAAACTTGGAGAACCAGTAAGTTTAATCTCTGATTTTGCCTTTTAAAGCACTATTGCATGCTGAAAGATTTGGTTTCATATAAGTAACGTCTAAAAATTGAAAGTTAATTATTTGTATTTTGATTTAATTGAAAAACAAGCCAACATTTTACTTGTAGTACTTGTACAACATATTACTTGTTGAGAATGTCAGGGATTATTGTGTTTTTGTTATAAACATTTTATTGTGTGTGTTTATGTATGTAAAATTCAATTATATGTACAGTCAGTTTCACCCCTCCATTGCCTGTACATATGTAGTGAAATGGACAAACATCAAAGATAGGCAGATATGCAGATAGTAAACACAACTTACAATCCCCTTTTGAAGATGACATTCCCCTTTGGTAAGAACCAAGTCATAGCATCTAGACCATGTGCAGCTCCAAGAACCCAGCTCAGATACTTCCAGTCCTCCCGTCCTCCCCCGTCCCAACATTCTGTACTTATATGTTAGCATTTCCTTAACCCACCTTTCATAATTCAGTTGAAACTCATACTTCAAATACAATAAAATACTATATACTATAAATATTATAGTAACTCAAAAAGTCCTACTAACCATGTCTTCTGCTTGTGTGAGGGTCTGGTAGGTGGGGTTCAATCAAATATGAGATTGATCCCCCTGAAATTTGTAAAAGGATTAGTATTGTTGTTAATGAATATACAACCCTCAGTGGAGTTATGGGTTTAAATATTGTAGCTGTGGTTAACCATAATGTTATGGTGGATGTTAGTAGCACTTGTGTGGTCACAAATTCCATCAGGATTCTGAATTAATGAGTTCCATTTTTCAAACTGACTATTCCATTTTTAACTTGTTATTTCCTAACTCTTGGCTTTAATATTCTTCTGGATGTTCAGCGTAGTTATAAATGTACATGTCTGCTTTTGAATAATAGCATAATCCAAAAGGGAAAGAGCATTCCAAACATATGTAGCCCAAATACTGAAAAGGATTTAAAGCATTTATTTAAATATTTATGTACTGCTTGATTAGCAGCATTCTCAAACCAGTTTACACAATATAGTAAGCTTTTGTTCAAGCATGGTTTATCTTCAAAGATCTTCTGTAGTCCTCCATTTGCTATTTGGATTGATGAATCCAAGTTATTTTAAATAGAAAGTGCTGTTAGAAACTTTTGAAATGACAGGGTGGGATTGGATTCCACTCTGCACACACGTGTGTGCGTGTGTAGAAAAGTTCTGTTTCTTTATACTTTTCATGGGCTTGCATAATGTTCCAGTAAAGGCACCCTGTTTTAGTTTTTAATAATATGGGTGCCTTAGCAGGATGTTAAAAACTTGTTGAAAGCCTGACAATATAAAATAGGCAGTTCCTCTTTCCTAAATTAGTTTCCACTTTCATTTTTCACTGAGGTTTAATTTTAATCAGTTGAGAGAGACATGTACAGCAATTCCACTGTGGCTGGCTGGCGAGAAGCAAAGGTGGAGAATCCTCTATATGCTAGGGGACATGTGACTAAGAGAGGAACCGTGTTTTGCTGTTCTGCTTTTAACTTTTCCAGGCCATTTTCCTGCCTTTTTCAGAGTTCTTTTCCACTTACTGCAGTGTGAGGGATTCAGTTTATGCCAGCTCCTGATTTGGCATAGAATTGATGCCAGTTTGTGGATGCACCAGGGGAATGGATCTACTTTACTTCCTGCATATTCTGTCCTTTCCCCAGTCTTCCCTCTAACCTTGCCATTTGCTTCTGCTGGTGAATAGAGCTCTAGTGAGGCAAGGGAAGTTTCAGTGGCAGCTGTAAAGAGTATCTCCCATTTCAAGTATGGATTTGCCCTCCCTGTCCTGAAAGAGTGAGACTAGAAACATTGTGTGGCCTCTGGGACAACCTTCCCAGGAAACATAGGAGTCCAGCCTTAGTAGCATATTATTTATTTAAAACATTTGTATGCCATCCTTCACTATCACGTCTCAGGACCGCTTACAGATTAAAAGCAAAACCATAAAACAATAGAACAATACAATACAATAAAATTATCAAAATCAATACAAATAAATCCAATCAAAAGTGACTATAAAACAGTAAAAATACTAACTTTTAAAATAACGATTAGATAAAAAGGTTTTAACCTGATGCCGAAAAGAGTATAGGCTCGGCACCAGGCGAACCTCGCTGGGGAGCATATTCCATAATCTGGCTGCCACCATAGAGAAGGCCCTGTTCCAAGTAGATGTCCTTTTTATCTCCTCACTGTTGATTCAACTTTTGCTGTTGTGTTTCACACAAACTGATTTGCAACCCTATTATATAATTCTGTTGCACTTCAGTTTAAGGATCAGAAACATACACAATTATGTTATTAACTAAGGAATTTTTTTCTTTCTTAGGACTATCTTCCTTCGCAGCAAGATATTCTGTTGGCACGAAGACCTACAAAAGGGATCCATGAGTACAATTTTGAAATTAAAAATGTTCCTTTCAAGATGGTTGATGTAGGTGGCCAAAGGTCAGAGCGAAAACGCTGGTTTGAGTGCTTTGACAGTGTCACCTCAATACTGTTCCTGGTTTCTTCAAGTGAATTCGACCAGGTACTTATGGAGGATCGACTAACAAATCGCCTTACAGAATCTTTGAACATTTTTGAAACCATAGTTAACAACCGGGTTTTCAGCAATGTCTCCATCATTCTCTTTCTAAACAAGACAGACTTACTTGAAGAAAAGGTTCAAAAAGTAAGCATCAAAGACTACTTCCCAGAATTTGAAGGGGATCCTCACAATTTAAGAGATGTCCAAAAATTCCTGGTGGATTGTTTTCGTACCAAACGCCGGGACCAGCAACAGAAGCCCCTATACCACCACTTCACCACTGCTATTAATACAGAAAACATCCGCCTTGTATTCCGTGATGTCAAGGATACCATCCTTCATGACAACCTCAAGCAGCTTATGCTACAGTGATGTGCAAAAAGACTTTGAATTGTGTTAATAGTTTACAGCAGGAGTTGGAAAAAACTGGCCTTGTCAGACCTCATGGTATGTGGGTAAAAGCTGCTGCTGTTATAGTTATCGCCAATTTCTCTTGAAATGCAGGCTTTGATATTTTCCACTGTAATTTCCATTTTGAATCTGCTTTCATTTCTTAACAGACTTTAGTTTTGTAAAGCTAACTACAAGTTTTAACCTCTTTCATCTTTTCACATTGATAAAGCCTGTACTCTTAACATCTGTTAATCTGTAGACATACAGTTGAAAGAATTTAGCTTGGAAACTTGCTAAGTTTAAAGTTGGTTTGGCATGTGAAAGGACTAGAGAAGAGATTAATTCTGGACTGCTCTCCAGGCTTGGCTAACTACCATCACCACCACCAATTCTTCTGTGCAGCAAACAGCTCTACTCGGTCAAATAATTAAGCTGAATTTGAAGTTTACAAATGCATTTTTGCTTCCATGCCAATAGAGGGTGCTCACAAATAGTACCAACAAAGGAAAACTGTTGTGGTCCACTCCCACTGAATATGTTAAGCAAATTGAATCCTGCATAGGGACTTCTGGTCTTACTTGGTGATTTGCAGATCATACAGTTTGACAAAACCTATGCATTTACAGTTTGGAACAATACTAGCTTAAATCACAGCTGCTTGCAGCTTTGGAAGCTTTCAGTTGCTGTGAATGAGCCATTGTTTAAGAATGCTCCTTGGGTTTTTTGTTCAGTTAGCCAGTTGGATAATGGAGGAGGCCAAGCATGATATTTGTTTCTGGTAAGTGGTGACAGTGTTTATAAATGTCAGATGCAACTTGTTTAAGTCATGTGACATCATTGAGAGTTCGCACAGCTGTAGTTGACACAGGATTGGCCATTATTTTGGCTAACAAGGCAAAACTTGTTTTCGAAAAGGATAAAGCAACTGAGTTATCTCCAAGGAATACCATATGGCAAAAAAGTGAAATTTGTAAAAGGATTGTACCTTCCGCCTCAATATGCACCTCAATAACTCAGCCTTGCAAACACACATTCATTGGAAATAAATGTATGGACTAATTGGTTTCTTTTTCATCTCAGTATTGAGGATACTGGTGATCCTTTTGATTTCTCAGGTATTGGTTTATAAGCCCATATATTACCAGTTGCTTTGGACATCCTAGTTTAACTGTAAAATTTATTACAGGTATTGATCTGTTTAAAGCACAGCATAATATCTACAAAAGGGATTAACATGTATGCCTGCTTTACTGCCATACATGGTTAGCATGCGACTAGCAACACAAGGTTCCTTTTCTATTTCACAGGCCAAACTTAGTGCATTACTATTGCTCTCAACTGCCAAGTGTGAGTATTACGTGATTTATGTGGAAGGAACACAGACAGCAATATTTCCATATTTATTAAAACTAAAATAATTTTGCTACACTTGACCCAAGAGGTATTGCTAATTAAGTGCTTTAATAGAGTAAGGCTCAAATTTCAGTTCTTCAGTGGGCCTAGTCCACCATTAGTAAATGTTGTTGATTTAGGATCTTTTAACCTAAAGTGCCTCTTAATTAGTCTTCCTTGCAGTGGCCTTAATGAGAATGTGGTTTAACTGAGAGTGGCTTTTGCAAAGGGTGAGGTGGGAAAGAGCTCTATTGCCTGGCTAAATTTCCAGACATAGCACAGTGATTATAATTAGTTATTGTATATTTGTTAGGAAATACAAAAATGTTATGAATAACACCTAAATGTTCTGGAAGTGTCATTTCTCCCACTCAAGATCCCCCCTCCCTAAATTCTGTCAAAATTCGTACATTGTGGGATTAGAATGATTTCACTAATCTGTCTGTTAAATTGAGCTGGATAAGGACATTGTTATCCTTGTTAACTGGGCAGTAGCAGTTTTTTAATCATATTTCCTACCAGGTTAATCCAATGAAGTATGATACTCATGTGGAACTAACACTGTATAAGAAGTAAGAATAACCAAAGCTGTTTCAGTGCCTCAGTTTTATAATACTGCTAATGCTGATGGGATACAGAGGTTACTGTTGATTGGGTACAAATTTGCCATTGTGTTCTAGAAGGATTGCTATAAAAGGACATTGAAGAAGTTCAGTTTATTTATAAAGGCAAATGTATGCTTGACAGCAAAATTAAAAATTATAAAGTAGATTTACCTATGTGGCCAGTGTAAGGTTCAAATGATGCATGTATTTTTTCTCTGCTACCTTCTAAATCCAAAGCAGCTGTGGAAAGCTGCAAATATACATGAAAAAACTGGGGAGGGTGGTAAAGTTGCCCAAGCCTTTCTTATCTGACATCTTACTCAGCTGCTTACAACCTGAAGCTTGTAGGAACAATAGGAAAAGTAGCCAGAAAAGGAAAGGTTAAGTAACCCTTTCCCCTGGCATGTTTGTTTAACCTCCAAAGGCAGCTTTTGGATTTAAAATAAAGTCATGGGAAACATGCATGCAACTGCGTATCATCTCTAATTTGAATAATTGCTATGAAATCAATGTTGGAACTAGAAACATTGAAAGAGATTCTGGATTTTGGGTAAGCAATGTCATATTCTGTCCCACATGTCCAGGCTGTCATCTTTGTTTCTTCCTCCTCCCTCATCTTATTAATCAGTTTGGTTCTAGGTCATCATTCACCTGTCTAGAAGCCCTGGAAAACATTTGGACTGATTTTATTGTCCTTGGGGTCTTTGGCACTCTCTGCAATACTCCTACAATGCTCTAGCAATGCCCAATAGTGTAACAATAAATAGTAAAAAAAGAGTCTCTTAAAAAGAATGTTGTAGACAGCCTTCTAAATTTACCCAAGAATGCACTTGTAGAATATGCTTAGAATGTCAAAAATATTTTTAACATTCTAATAGAAATATTGATAAAACCTTACATGTTGTGATGCAGTTGTTTCAAATTCAGGGCTGGATTACCAGATGCTTTTTTTTTTAGAAATGGTTTTTTCTTAAAGTATTTTAATGGTTCATAATCCCTTTTAGAAGTTCTGGGACGTTCTTTAAAAAACCTGCCACATTTAGATTTCCTAAGATTTCCATGGAATAGAAGCTGACTTACCTTGCCCACAAGTTGTGTCCAGTGCATCCAGGGCAGGGGTTGGTAGGAAAGTGGAGATGCTTCATGGAACATGATCTACCAAAATAGTTTACTTTCAACATGAATTTGATTATCTTGTAAGGTTAAAGACTAACCTTAAGCCTAGGAAGCAATTTTTTTTCAAGATAGTGATTAGGTTCTGTGTATGCTAGAGTCAGTTCACAGGTCAGTCTTTAATAAGCCTTCCTCTGTTTGATGGTACCAAAAAGACATCTCAAAGATGAGACATGGAAGGATGACACAGCATTGTATTAGTGCCATTTGCAGTTTTCTTTAACTTGTACTTGAAAGCAAATAATTGCCACTTATTTAAAACTGCTTCCCCAGTCTTCAAAAACAGTGAGTGCTTATATTCTATAGAGCCTTTCTCAAAAATATATATTTTGTTAACAGCCTCACAAAATCTTTATCTAATGAAACCAAGATTTGTATTAACTTTGTATAAATATGGGGTGTTTTATGGCTTTTTTTTTAATATGTGTAACTTTTGTAACTTTACGGAAACTAAGAGAATCTGTTACTTTGTAAATTGCCCCCTTGCCTTTGTTCTGTGTTGGCAATAAATTATTTCTAAATAAGGTCTTAAAAGGCATAATTTAAAATGGGTTGATTACTATTAGATGAAAGCATCCTTTAGTTGTACATTGCCTCTGTACATACTCTGCAGGTGTTCCAACCATTAATACTGCCTTATGTAAAATAAAGTACTGACGGTAAATAAACAATATACATCCTCACTGCATATATGGAATTGGTATCCTTCATTTGAAACAGACTTGTTTTAGCTAGCTGCAATGCAGTCAGTCTTGACAATTGTTTGCCTGTAACAGCAATTAAAACACTGTCATACGCAGTGAGCTTCATTTTAGTTGGTGGTATGGCTTTAACTCTTCAAGCTGAGGAAACAGCTCCAACAGTGGAGAAACAAGTGCTGTTCTAAGGTTTGCACACTATACAAAAGCTCAGGTCAAACTTTAGCTAATGCATACAATTATGGAAAAGAACTCAGGAGAAAGAAAATGCTACAAAGGACTGAAAACAATGGAAGATTTTGGAATATGGAACTTAAAAATGACCAGAAGCCTCTAAAGTCTAGGTTTTCCAACAGATTTTAGCTAGTTTTTTTAATCTATGAATAAATCTGCTCTAACGTACTGTTATTGTTTAGCATTTGAACTGCTATATCTTGTTTTGTTACTCATATGAAGACTGTGTCTATTTTAGTAGCTTTACTTAATAGTGTTCTGCAATCTATATCTCTGCCTATCTTGTGCATGGCTTTAGGCTCTCCAGGAGCTTCAGGTGCTTATTAGACCTCCTACATAGATATACTATGGTATTTTATGTAAAACTAGGAATTTGTCTATCAATGGAAATAATTCAGGTGACAATCTTTGTAATAATATTAAGCATGTTGACCTAGAAAAGTAAGTTGAATAAGTTCTAAACCAATATGTCAATATTACGAAATAACTTTATTATGTGTCTCAATGCATCCATGTGACACTTGAAGTTAGTTCCTCCCACCCAGTCCCTAAGACACCCTACTTGAGTGAAATTTCTCAAGTCTTCCTTCCTGTAAATGTAGATTTCAAGTTGCACAATAAGCAGGAAAGGGTAGAAGAGCACCAGTTGTGTGCAGTTTCAACAAAGTGTTCCTTATTCTGAATATAGTACTCCAAGCAAGCTGCATGCATGTGAAGCCCCATCATTAGTCCCTGGAAGTAGTCGAATACCTTTTCTGGCTAAGATGCACTGTAATCAAGTTTTGCTTGTTTAATTAATTTCCTGCTTTTGTTTGTAGGGCTCAAGATGGCATATAATTATTCAGAAACATGCACTTTTAAATCAGGAAATAAGTGGTATATAGTATAACACAGTAGTGTAGTACAGTAGTATGTATTTAGCACATAATTTAGTGGCTGAATGATTCAGGATTTAAATCAGAATGGAAAAACAAAGCCCTCCTTTCACTTTAAGTCACACCTCTTTTATGCTATCAAATAAATCGGCATCATCCTTCACAGAAAGGTTCTCTGAAAGCTGCAACCACTAAATGCACACAAAAAATGAACATCATATGAGTCAGTTACAGTCCCCAGCTATGTAAAGAGAATGCTTGGATGTTGGTCCCTCTAAGCTGAACATGCTTGCCAGAATTATGGTGTAATCTCACAAATACTCTTAAGAATAATGGGATCAGTTTTGCTTTCCAGGTGCCTCTGGCTGAAACAGATATACATCAGTTGCGTTAAACAGCCTTTTCATCATGTTGGCCTGGACAGAACCATGCTGCAAATGTACTATATGGCTGATAGTCAAATTAAATCCTGATAGTGTAGAGAAAATATATTGAGTTTAACCTAAAACTTGATATATAGTTCCTTAGCATAGCTCCACTATAATGAAGAGGTAGGAATAAGTTCAGTAAAACTTAAAAAGTAACTAGTAAGGATCTTCAGCGAAGAATATTAATGGCTGCCTTCTGCTGTGTGTGAGCATGTGCACACGAATGCTAAGAAGCTCTGATTGCTTTTATGGTACCAAATGTTGAAAGAAATAGGTATTAGTGATTTCTGGAATGAAAAAGTAAAGGTGCAAATCTTCTGATAATGAAATCAGCTCATTTGCAGGGAATGGGTACATTGTGCCCAGTGCTTACATAAAATAATTTTGTTGGAAAAAGTTTAGTTTGAAGATGAAAGTTGTTCTCTGGTACCATTTGGAGCAACTTTCATCCATCCTAACTTGCCTGATATGGGATAGATCATATCTGTTTTGAATTTGGTGAGGGTTGGGGTGGTCAGAATGAGCAAACTGCAGATGGATTGGGGGTTTTTCTTTAAGGTAATAACAATTTCCATATCCTTTATTGTTTCCTGAACATATTCTGTTCCAATACTTGACTCTGGCCAGTTGCTTTTCCATTTGTAACATTCATCTACAGGAATTCAAGAAATATATCTAAAAAGTGGCAAGGGCACACTTTTTATTGTTTTGAAGTGTGATTGCTGCGATAAAATCTGTTTTCCCTCTCTGCGTATGTGTCACAGGAAATAGAAGTGCTTAATGAAAAGATCACCATGATTAGATGCACAAAACAAATTTCTAAAAACTTTGGATGTTTGATTCAAGCTTTTTGCACTATTGCAAACACAATAATTTTGATTGTGGTAATGTTGCAAATCTCATTGGCTCAATTTCCTGATATTTAAACGTAATTCCCAAAACAATTACTTCTTTATTTGTTGAAGTTAAGTACTTTCCATTTACAATGCTACATGTTTTGTAATGATCTGAAACATGGTTGTCACAAGATTTCTGATAGGCCTGGTGTCATATCCAGATGCTTAGCTGAAAAAGAAAAATGTGATATTGGCTTACCTAAAGAAAACCAATCTGTTCAAATAGCTGTGTAAGCTACACACGCAATTGTGGCCAGAGTGACATCAGGACACAACATTGCTCTCAGAATTTACCCAGCCATGATTATTCTGTATATTCTGGTATAGAAAATTCAATGAAGTAGTGCTGTCATAGTTAATTCCAGTTTATGAATTTTTATATATGAACTTGTACCATATTAAATAGGTACAAACCTTTCTACAATGGGCTGGACATAAATAGTGTCACCATTTTCACCCCCTTCATGTAGCACAAGAAGCTCTTTTTAATTACAAAATTTGTGAGATTGGTGCTTTACTAATTTTTTCAGCAGAGGAAATATCTGGCATTCTCAGAAGCCATCCGGGCTGAAGTCCGGAACATACTTAAGGCTTTTTTTCTGGTTCCTGTTTGCATAAAGCTTTAGGAATGCTCTCCCTAGGGAAACTCACCTGATTCCTACATTATTGATGTCAGGATAAAATGTTTCTGTTCTCATGGGCCTTTTAATATCTGATTTGGTTTTAACTCCTGTTTATGATGCTTTTAGTCATCTGTGTTACCTTCCTATTTGGGTGGATAGCAATAAAATTATCCCACTGATGGAACAAACTTCTACACACAATGAAGAATTTTATAGGAACATAAGAAAGGCCATGCCGGATCAGACCAGTGGTCCATGTAGTTGAGAAAGTTGGGAGGGGGGGCTTTGGCCCTTTTTCGCCAACCTCATTTATTCTGTTAATGCCAGCACTCTACACACACAGTGGCAAACCAGCTGCCCACAGGATCCTTCAAGCAGGATGGGTACAAGCGTACAAGAGCTGCCCAAGCTCCTCAGCAACTGGTATGCAGGCATGCTGCTTCTGGGAAGGGAAGTAGCAAATAGCCAGCAAGGCTAGTAGCCACTGGGAGCCTCCTACTCCATGAATCTGTCCAATCCCCTTTTCCAAATTGGCAGTTACCAGCACTTCCCATGGCAGCAAATTCCATAGTTTAGCATAGGTTAGTGAGACAGGGCTTTCCCCTGTGGAAGCTATGCCAATTCTTTTTCAACAGGGCTTGCCTTGTGTGAACCAACTTCTACACATAATGTAGGATTTCACTCTTGAACTTTTATGCTGGACTAGTTTTTAAGTTATTTGGGGTATTTCTAGTGTCAGATGAAATGGCCTTTAAAAACTCATAAAGCATGTACCATTATAAACTTGATAATGTATAAAGATAATGTATAAACTACACACTTCTTTTTGGTACAACAGGCCTTCAGCTAGCATGGCTGCTTGTCTATAAGTTTAGTATTTAAAGTAATATTGTGCAAATGTATCATTCTGATACAGAAGGACAAGCTTGTACATGCACTCCACAGGAGAGGCTATGATAAGCAGATGCATGGTGTTCTAGAAACTCATTTGAAGCATGCTGGGGGGATGACTTTGAAGCTCCAATTTGCCCCATCACCTTTTCAACAGATTGCACCCAGCGACCATTTTTCATTTCTCATACTACAGCAGGCAACCTAATACTCTAATGATCATAGACAAACATTTGAAAGATATACTCCCTTAGAATGTATAAACTCAGAATATATCAGCTACTTGTACACAAATCTCTCATATTTGCATTCTTGTACTCAGTGAATTCGGAGCATCTTTCATTCCCTGAATCTGCCATCAAAATAACTAAAATGGGTTAAATCTGCATAAGTATACTTTGGTGGGGGCATTAATATTTTCATTCTGTTCTCTACTCAGAAGCAACTTGTCATGGATCCCCCAAGCAATTTCCTAGTCAGCAAATATGTTGAAACCTGCTAAGTTGGGTGCTATAAAAGGCAACACTCAAGGTTTTCTGCTAAGGGGCAACTGCTCCTCACTGAATAACATCTTCTATTCCAAGACCAGGCCAAGCTATGTCCTTACTGTCCAAGAAAGTAGGGTGGAAGCCAGCCTGGATGTCCTCATGCATGATTAGCTGTGAGAACCCAAGAAAGTTAGGGACCTAGGAGGCTGCTTTATCCCGAGTAAGACCCATCGGTCCATCTAGCCAAATACTGTCAACACTGACTGGCAGCAGCTCTCCAAGTTACAGGCAAAAGCTTCTCCCGCTTTACTTGGAGATTTAGTCAATCGAACCTACGCCTTTCTACATGCAAATTAAGTAATCTATCACTGAATTGCCCCTGCCCAGAGCTAACCAGTGTTGAGATACGCTCTACACATTCTCAGAGAAACAAGTATACCCGCATCGAGAACCACACATTTCTATTATCAGCGTGGGCATACTTTAGCCTGCGCCCAATAAATACGTCCCCTTCAGCGCCCCAGCAGCCGGCCCAGCCCTCGCCTGCATCCTGCGGCAAGGTTGCGGCGCCACCCGCGCAGTCGCTCTGCAAGCCCGGAAGTGGAGCGGCCTGAACGAGCCGGCCCGCCCTGTCCCCGCAGGCCGAGCCATCAGGCAGCGCAGAAGCGGCCAGGAGCGCCCGCGGCGGAGCAGCCGGCTGGGCTCCGGAAGAGGCGTGAGCACCGAGGTGGGCCGGGCCTGTGCCTGCGGCCGTTCGTCGTTCTTGGGCTGGGCTGCAGAGCGCCTTGGGCGGTGGCATTGCAGGCAAAACCAAGCAGAAAGTGAAACGGCCTGGGCGCCATTTCAGGGTGCGGGAGGGCGGTTTTGTGCAGCGGGTAAAGGCGCGTATACATTCAGGGCGTAATAGTGTCACCAACGCAGACGGTGGGTTTTAAGAGGACTTGTGGATGTGCACACATTCGTTTGTACCTTACAGTTAGGCAAACGAACCCCGCCCCCGTCTGTCTGTCTTTCTGTCTGTCTGTCTGTCTGTCTCTCTCTCTCTCTCTCTCTCTCACACACACACACACACACAGAGAGAGAGAGAGAGAAAGAATGAGAGAGAGAGAGAGAGAGAGAGAGAGGGAGAGAGAGAGAGATGGGCGTCACAGGGTGGGGTATTGCTAGAAGGGGCAGTTGGAGGAAATCACAGGTCCATATTGCTGCTCCTTTGACGTGCGTGTGTGTCTCTCTCTCTGTGAAATACTCTTTAAAAAAATAGTTCTGCAAGATCTGGGCGACTGTGCTTACCCAGAATAAACTGGTGGGAATCCAACTGATGGGATTTGATGCTAAATCAAATTCACCATTATCTTTCAGCTGGAATTTATATCCATATATCAGACACCAATTGAGTCAGCCACCAGTCTCTTGAAATATTATCTTGCCTATTACTCTTATTTATAACAAAAATCTGATGGATAAGTACATATTGTAATTGTACCCACTGTCCAGTAACATTAAGTCCTAACATTAAGTTACATATTTTATAGGGCTTAATATTAAAGAGTGTTGTCAAAGACTGCTCTTTCAGATCTTTTATGTAAACAATTCTGGAAACTTATTTCAGGCAACAAAATATTGTTGAAAAACCAGAAGACTAAGCGGCATTTTCACAAGTCATTCCTGAATGTCTAACCTAGGATCTAAAGATATTTCCATGTATACAGCATAGCTTGCATTTGTCAAAGAACAGTAGTTGCAACATGGCAAATTATTTTTGACTTTGTGGGTAGAAGCAATTTGGAATAGGGCATGATAGCTTCTGTTCAGAGGAGGAAAATGCAACAATTTCCAGTGGAAATGTCTGATCCCTTGAACAAGGGTAAAGTGGCTTTGGGAGTTTGGAATGTGTCACTTGTGGACGCTATTATAAAATCAAATTGAAGGTGACCAGAAATGACCTTTTAAGCACATGATAAATTAGCATAGTGTATGCATAGCCTCTGAGAGGATTTGCATCCCATCTTATGGGGCCTCTTGCAGTATACAAGTGGGAAACCTCTTTGGGTGAGAGGCTGAGGCATTAAGGGGGACAAGATGCCAGTGCATCTTGCTGCTCTTACCAGAACTTGGTCCAAAAGTTCAGGCTTACAATTCCCACCCTCCCTCATCATTGGTTGTGCTGGCTCAGAGTGGGTGTAGTTGTATGCTAAAACAACATGTGAAGGACCACATGTTGCCCTAGTTTGGGCAGTCCTCTGTGCCTCAATTCATGTGAAAGAGGCTGAGAGAGAGAAAAGTGAGGATTTGTTTGACTGGGAACTTAATGGGATGGCCAGATAAATTATTGGGTAGGAAAAATTCTAGCATGGCTGTTGCCTAGCTTTACTTGGAGTCCTGGCATATGAGCATGTAGGCAATCTGATTTCCAGGAAAGTAGTTATGTGCTGATAGGATAGCGGTAGGACTGTTTTCCTTTTCATGTGAATAGTCAATGAATCCAGTCAATTATGCATATATTTTTAAGTACATACATCAGAATGAGCCATTTTTATTGCAGTATTTGAGATCTTGGTGTATTTTTTAAAAATGGAAATATTAGCATAGTTTTGAAATCTGGAGTGAGTCAAAAGGTAGCAAGGTACACTTTTAAAAACAACAATGAGTCTTCTTGACTGTGGCTTCCCAGTGTAATCACAAATATCAATATATAAATACAAACTAATGACATGTGTAAATCTAATTTATAAATTACAGTTTATATTATACACATAAAAAACAAATCTGGCTGTTATCACTAAGAATGGAGAATTCTGTTTGTTGCTATTGAATGTTTCACAGCATTCAGGATGGACTGAAGAGAGGGTGTTGGGCCTCATAAACCATTGCTCTAATTCATTAGTACAGATGTTGCAATCACCATCTGGATCTTGGTACAATACTAGCCTCAAAAGAACACAGTTGCGTCTTTCTTTAGTGTGGGATGGAGTGACCTATGGCATAATACACAGAATGAGACTGATGACTGTACATGCAACAACCTTTCCCATGGCAGTCCAGTCCGAAAGCAGAAGATGATTGTGAAATGATGGCTGGGTATGGAAATAGGAAGGGAATGCAGAAGCTGAAGGTTGCATGTGTTGGAGATGATAGTTGCTGAGCAAGCTGCAAAACATAGCTGGTCTGTCACTAATTTGCTCATACAGAGCATGTGAGTGGTAACTGGTGGTGTGATGGAAAAGGGGGAACTGTTTAAGAGTGAGATTGCATAACCACTCTTTGTCTTTTTCTCTGTTGCCATTAGATGAAAGTAATTAAACATTCCGAGCAAGTTTTGAGGGTGGCTCTGATCTCCAAGGATGCACAGCTTGTGAAACTTTATGAGATGTTTGAACCTAAGGAGAAGCTTTTGCTAAATGAAGCATTTCAGCCAGAGAGTGCTCTCTTTAAGCCCATCACACTGCATTGTGACTCAGATTGGATTTCCTCGCACCCAGAACCGACCCAGGATTTTGCACAGTTTTATCATGATCCTTGCAGAAACATACCATCTCCCCAGAGGAATCGGATTTATGTCCAGCCCATTGGTAATGTCTGCTTGATGAGTTGAAAAACTAATTGAAAACTGAGCAGTTAATGATGTCTGTAAACTGAACTGTGCAAACTGATAATGAACCATTAACCTAAACTAATTAAGCTAGTTGTTTGTAATTTTTCTTTCATAAGGTAAATCTTTCCACTTTGACCTGTTTGTAAGGAACTCTTGCACCTCTTTCACAAAACAACAGTCTGGACATGTTTTAGGATATGCTTAGTTCACACAGTACTCCTGGACCCTACATCAACCTCTGTCTAATGAAAGTGACCCAGAACACAGCCAGGACTGTTCCGCACTGCACCTTGCAGGAGCAGTTTGGTAGTTGCAAGCAAGCCTTGAGCTCTCTCAGGATCCAGGGTTTCCCAGAAAATGCTTTGAAAATTATCAGAGTTGGCAAACTGGCTCCTGGTTGGAAGGATTCTTCACTAACTATATCTAAATCCCTGAGAGTCTGAGCCTACAAAACACACTTGAATATGCTTTAGTTACCAGAATATTCTTAAGAGATCTGGTAGGACCACTACTGTGGCAAATATAAAAGTGAAAATGTACTTGTGAGAATAATAGCTTAAGCTGTCTCATCTTATTAGTCACATCTGAAATAAAGCAGCTGAAGCTAAACTAGTTTTCCAGATTACAAGTTGCTGCTACAGCAGTGCAAATTATGTTTTTCAACATGATTTATGTAGCATGAATTTGGGGCAGGGGTGAATGAGGTGGGTTATCTAGATATTTTTCAGCCTGGTTCTGGGACAGACTGTTTTGGTATCTTGGTGGACAATCTGTGCTGAGAACTGGACAGTGAGAATGTGTTCCTGCTGGTTCTGCTGACACTCATGGGGTATTCTGAGGCATCTCTCTGGGGTGGGACCAGTCTTGATCTTTTTTAAAAGGTGCTGCAAGGAGACTTCTTTTTGATGACATGGTCTCAGGGTTCCATTTTGTTCCCCCTGCTATTTAATATTAAATTGTTTGGAATTCTGGTGAGCTGAATTCCCAACTTTCTCTATTCATCTAAATCCAAAAATGCTGTTCTAAATGTTTCTAAATTACGGTCTGATGTTGGTGATGGACTGAATGAGGGGGAGCAAGTTGACACTTAGTCCAGACAAAACAGGTGCTCCTGATAACTCCTGATAAAGGCTGATCAAGGAATAAGCCTTCTACATCTGCTGGGTGGGTTGCCACTCTTCTTGAAAATTCAAGTTCACAGTTTGGGTGGGTTTTCTGGACTTGGTCCTGAACAAGGATTCCCAGGTTTTGGCAGTGGCCAAGAGTGCATTTGGACAGCTGAGGCTTGTGTGCCAACTGCACCTGTTTCTGGAGATGTCTGGTCTGGACAGCTTGACGCATGCCTTAGTTGCATTCCACTGGGACTACCAGGATGTGCTCTGTATGGGGCTGTCTTTGAAAAATGTTCAGATAGTTCAGCTGGTTCTAGAAGGCTGCAGCCAGACTGCCACTCAGTACCAGTTACAGAGAATGTGTGACACCCTTGTCTGTGCCCAGCTTCAGTTCAAAGTACTGGCTATGCTCTGTGAAGCCTTGTTTCACTTGGGATGAGGCTTCTTGAAACACTGCATTGTCTCATGCAATCTTGCGCAGGTTTTAAAGTCTTTTGGGGAAGCTCTTCTCTCCATCCCAACACCATTAGAGGCATATTTGGTGGGAATGCAAGAATGGGACTCCTCAGCAGCCATTCCCAGGCGGGATAACAACATGTCAAGGGAGGCTCTTTGTTTTCCTATATGCAAACTGTGCCGCTAAAGCTTGTTTTAACTTGTTTGGGCACTGTTTATTTCTTGTTATTTTTGTGTTTATGCTTGTTTGGTTTTTATGTCTTAAATTGAGAGTCTGTTGTTAGCTTTGAGAGACATGCTTGGAAAAAAGGTGGGACATAAATGTAACAAAATAATTTGTCTTATCGATGGTGAATTAGAAACAGAAATGTGCAAAGTAATCCAGTTCTCTGGTTAGGCCAGCGGGGTGAAGGCAAGACTGCTAATGAACCCCTTTGCTCTGGCAGAACAGAAGCGTAGCATAGTGGACTGGCTTTGTTGCAGTGGTGTGGCCAGGCTTGTGGGGCCCTTTGTGCTGGTGGGGCGCTGCCAGAGCAAGGTGGGGATGGGTGGGACAAGGCTGAAGCAAGGGCAGGGGAAGAAGAGCTTACTCAGAGTCCGGTGCTTGTTCAGAGGTTGGGTTGGGTGTGGACGCATCTGCATTTCTCTGGATCATGACTAGCAGTGCCGGCCTTTGACTCATTAGATGGTCTTTTGTAAGCCGTTCCCTCACACCCTTTGCTTCCCTTTTCTAAAATAAGACTGATGGTAGCTGACTGAAAGTGTTGCTGTGAAGCCAGAGAAGAGAGCATTTGCCAAGTACATCTCATATTTTAAAGAAGTGTTACAGAAATAATAATTCTTTTCAATGGAGGAAAATCTGCTGAACTGAAGTTATAACTTGATGCTTTTCTGGACTATTTTCTTAAAGGTTCTTTTGGAGATTCCAGAGTTAGCACAGATGTCTACATGAAATGGCTTAAGGATTACTGCGAAGCTTTTTATTATGGTTTGACTGTAAGAATCCTAGGGCCAGAGCCGGTTTCACAGACGGGTTGTGCTTTTCGAATCAATGAATACACACACAATCTGCAGCTTCATGCAGGTATGAAAAAGAGAGAGAACACTGTTGGACTGGCACATGTTTTAGATCAGTTCTGCAAGTTCTGGACGGTGGCTTCATAGTCTCAGTTGTCTTAAGATCCTGTTATTTTAGTAAGTGAAGAGTAGAGCATTGTGAAAGTTGTCCCAAATGTAGTTTTCCCAAAATCATACTGCTCCTGTATTAACTTATGATTTTGAGGCTTTAGGATGTGAAAGCCTGCTGTGTCTCTCTGAACTGTGCAGACAGGAAGTCTTGAAATCCCTTGCATTCTGACAAAGAGCAGTGCTTAAATATATACAAACCAATGAAGTTGCCTTCGGTTCAGAGTATCAGAGACCACCCTGCCCAGTATTGTCTACTCTGACTGGCAGCAGCTCTTAGCATCTTAGGCAGAGAACTTTCCTGTCATATCCTTTAACTGGTGATGCCAGGGCTTGAACCCGAGACTTCCTGCATGCAAGGCACGTGTTCTGCCACCGAACTGTTGCCTCTCTCCATACATGCTTACACTGGTGCTCCTGAAGGGGATTTGCATGGTATCCCCCTAGGGGCAAATAGTTTTGCACGTGTGCACACATGCGCACACCAGAGAGTAACTGTGAACTTCACATTTAGTTTAATAAAGCTAAATTTTACTGAAAGCCAGTTATCCTTAACTCATGGTTTCTGGGCGGGGGGGGGGGGGTTTGTTGGTTTTTTTTTTTTTTTTTTTGCATTGTTTGAATAAGTTTTCTATGAAATGGGATGTGTGTGAAATTTTAATACCTCTCTTGCTTATTTTCTGTACTTGTGCTACAGCTGGATTTCTAGGTATGCAATCATTGCCTTCTTATATGGTTTCTTGTACTTGGAGAGAGAACAGTGTGTGTTTTTCATGCAGGGCATCTCTTGAACTACCTAAAGAAAAGAAAGCCAAAGGATGCTTTCTGCATTGTGGGAATAACTATGATAGATCTTTATCCTAAGGACTCCTGGAATTTTGTCTTTGGACAAGCCTCCTTGACTGAAGGTATAAACTTGCTTACTGTTTTCTTAAGTCAATAAGGCAGTAAAGTTTGATGACGTGCAGCTACTTTTCTTGGCCTGAAACAACATTAAAACTGAATAAAAGCATGCATATGTATGCATGTATCTATTTGAGCAATGAGCCTTCCTGCAAGTATGAATGAAGATTGTTTTTCTTCAGGTTCATGCTGAGGAAAGTGAGATTTGCAAGTTTTCAGCAGATGTTTTTAACACAGTGTTTAACAGAGGCTACTAGTGACCTCCACTGAGGTTGACTGAGTGGCACAGTTTACCCACAAGGATACTAGATGCATTTCAGGACATAAGAGCCATTCTGGATCCAACCAAAGGGCTGTCTAATCCAGCATTCAGGCAGCTGGTTGGTTACTAGATGAACTTGGTAGGCATACTGTCTCATAGAGCCTTCCAGACTGCTAGTAACCATTGATAACCTCCTGTATGAATTTGTGCAGTCTCCTGGTTGGTGGATGCCACTACATTTTGCATGATAAGCTTAATGACGTCCTGTGTGAAAAAGTGTTCTTTTTTAATCTCTACTCACTCACCAACTGATCAGCTTTGTGGGCTGACCCCAGATTCTATTACAAGGGGAGGGAGAACACATTGCCCTGCCTGCTTTCTCTACGTCATGCATACTTTTGTATACGCCTGTCATGCCTCCCTTACTCGCAAGTTAAACAGTCCCAGTTGTTGTAACCCTCCCTTAGAGGGGAGTTGCCCCTGTCTCCAAATCATTTTGTGTGCCCATTTCTGAAGGTATTCTATTCTCATGCTTGTTCTGAAGTTATTGTACATTTATTGACCACAAGAGGGCAGTCGTTATACATATGCAGTAGTTCACAAATAAAGCTTGAAGACTGCATTTGGCTGTAGGGCATTCTGGTTTAATGGACAAATTATAGGCACTAGATCTTTTGCTGCTTAAAAATGTTCTAGAAATGATTTGCATTGGCCCTTCAGATATGGACCGTCATCCTGGTAACCAGGATGTTTTCTTCTGTTCCATTTTGCTGAAAAAAATCACCTTGTCTGACATGCTACTTACTCTATAAAGATTATACTCACAGTATCCATTACCTTTACAACTCACTGCCTCTGGGTGTAGCCAGTTTCAGAGGAGAACCAGACAAATATATACAAAACAGAGAAATCTGTGTCTTGTTATAAAAAGGAATGTGGTGAAATGGCTAGACTGGGATTTTAAATCAGTAGTTTAGCTATGAGTGGATTTCATCAAGCGTCATTCTTCCAGCCCAATGAACCTAACTTCAGGGGAGAATTTCAGTCCTCTTTGATCCCCTGCAGGCCATGGCGAATGGTGATTTGGTGGCAAACTACCTACAGAGAGGCAAAAGGCAATTTACCTTCTTATTCAGCTAGCTTGCCCTTTTTATCCTGTCACATTCTTGCTGAACTTTTATTGCATACCACTAATTATTTTCTTCTTTTTGCTGCTGCTGTGAATTTCAGCAGTGTGTGGGCATGTGTGGACTACACGAAGCATATGGTATGCATGCTGCCCACCCCTCCATTAGTAGAAGGGCAGGATTCAAATGAAATAATAAATGCTCGGGCTTGTAGCTGGTGAGGGCAAAATCTGATGACGTTTTTAAGCATTTCAGAGAGTGCCAAAGACTGAAACCTCCCTGGGGGCTCCCTGGCTTCCCCCATGGCTTTCTCAACTTCTTTCATCTTTGGCTGGCTACCCTACAGTCCCCCATAGACTTTCTTTCACTCTTCACAAAGGCCTCCGGTGAGCACTTCCAGTTCCCACAGCTGTCTGGAAGAGTTTCGGAGCTGACTGCTGTGAGGGCACAGCTGGAGCTGGGGCAGTAGAAAGCACTTGGGGCCTTTGCTGGCCTCATTCGGCTTGGTTGAACAGATTGTTTTACAGCTGGCTCAGTCTCAGAGGGGACTTCATGGTAAGTTTCCTGCCTGGCATGTTCTCATGTTAGTTAGTTAGTTAGTTAGTTAGTTAGTTATTTAAAACTTTTCTAGGCTGTCCCTTCCTGAAGTCTCCAGAGAGTTTAACAATACAGCAGTGTAAAATAATGGGTGATGAAGGGAAGAAATCCTATTTTTGACTTCCTGGATATTCTCTTTATGAGCAGTAAATTCAACATTTCACCTAGAGGTTTGCCTTGCTGCCTTGTCGGTATAACTGTTTTTCTTTGGTTTGTCCTAACTTGATTTCCTTTCTACTTTGTTTAAGGAATGGGGATATTCAGCTTTGCCAGATATGACAGTGACTTTTATAGTACAAAATACAGAGGCATATTAAAGACTACGAAGAAGCTTCATCCAGCTGACTATTCTGTGTTTGATGGTTACTACACTCCTGACATCACAAGCAAGCTGCTTCTGAGATCCTGCAAAGTGAGTGTGTGCTGAATTCCTAGCACTACATATTTTATAGCTCAGTTAAGTACCCACATTTCTTCTCAAGCTGTGTCAATCAAGTTAACTCTCTTCACTTCAAGAGAGTTAATAGCTAAATGAGAAGGATCAACATTTTGCCTTGCACCTGGTGTTTGCGAGATTCAACTTGTCTGGATGTGTGGAAGTCCCACAATTTGCTTTCCTTTGCTTTATATGGAATCTCTTGCAAAAGACCACCATAGAATCATAAAAAAGTAGAGTTAGAAGAGGCCATTAAGGCCATTGGGTCCAACCCCCTGCTATTGCAGGTCACCAGTTTACTCCATCCCACTCAGATGACGCTCCAGTTTCTTTTTGAATGTCTCTAGGGTGGGAGAGTCCACAGCCTCTCTAGGCAGCTGGTTCCACTGTTGCATTGCTCTGACAGTGAGGAAAGTTTTCCTGGTACCTAGCCAGAGTCTGGGCTGTCACAGACCGACATCCCAATTAAGATAATGCCCTTCCATTATAAACTGATCTGAGGAATAGTCTGGTGGCTTCCTGACATCACCATGGAGTTCCAACTCTGAGATCATAAGGTAGAGCTCCTGCCTCCTTGCAGTAGATGCACAAGGAACTGCACTAGCTTCTTCCCCCAAGGTTGCAACTGATCTTCCAAATGGAAAAAGGGCCTGCCAGGGGGGGAGGAGGAGAGGAGGAGACTGGGCCCATAGTGCTATACCAGTTCCAGTTGGTGCCCTTCTCCTGGCACTAAAGGTAGATGGCCAGAAGTGGTTGCCTAGGTAAAATGGAGAGATTGTGGCTGCCACACCTCGCTCCTTGCATTGCATGCAAATTTGGAAACTGATGGGTCTCTGCATGGGAGCAATAGGACACAGTCCTCTGCTTGTTTGGCCACCGTGCTGACTGAGGGTTGTAAGACTTTTTCCTGTCTAAACAGGCATAGGGTCTGTTTAGTACCAGTGGCACTAAATTCAGCTGCTTTGGTGTAATTGGGATGCAAATATGGCTGCAGCTCCTCTTAAGAAGAGGATATTGTGCATAGAGTATGTATAGACAAGAATAGTTTACTGCGGAAAGATTTTTCTTTCACCACTTTGTAAAGGGGAAAGGGTCAAACGTTTGTTGTTTTTTCTGTATAGGAGAAAATCATATATCTTTCCAGTTAATGGAAAAACAGGCCATATTATAAAATAAAATCAAAACTTCTAAACATTTATAACTTAACGTAACGAATCCCAGTATGTGAAGGCAGACTAGACCAGAACAAGTTTGTTTTGTGAGATGGTAGATGCTACTTTAAAATGCAATGATTCAAGCTTTGGACTGTTAGAAGCATCTCAGGCATCAGAGGCATCTTCTGCATTTGCCAGTGCTCTGTGACACCTCCTGTTCTCTTCCCTTTCTTGAAGTTCTTTGTCTGATTGGGCAAAGGAGATACTTTCAGAGAGCTGGAGGGGGGAATCTTGGGAATCCTGCAACATTTCACCTAGGACAGGGTCTTAGTCATGAGCACATCATTACCACAATATCACCACCCTTTCAGATATTTCAGCTTTCATTTAAGGCCCATTTGCATACCTAGGAATTAACACACTTCCTATTAAGGAAAGGAAAAAAGATGGCCATTGTGTGAATGGCCTTGAAATGAACAGTCAATAATGGATGGGTGCATACTGAAGAATTAACTGTCAGTGCTCACATACTGCTCAGAAACAGAGTACTTTTGTGGCCAAGTTCCAGTCAGAGAGCCAGATGTTTTTTTGCTGTTTTTTTTTAATTTATATTCAGCTATGACTGATGTAATACTAACAGTAAGACTTGCAAGTCTGTTTTTTGAGTGGTTTCCTTTCCCCCTAGCTGTTCCAGTGTTGATTAATTTCAGGTTCTTCTATCATTTTGTTGAAAAGATAGGTGACTTATATTAAGCATGTACTTCTGAGGTCAAAAATAGTTTATATTAATAATTTTTCATACAGGAAAATGTCTTTTACAGAATTGGTTATATTATTATATTGCTGTCCTGCTTTTGAAGGAATCCAAGGGGGCTTACATAATCAGGGAAATCTGTGGATTTTTTTTTTTTTTTAAATGGTGAGGTGGTGGAGCTTCCTAGATCACAGGAAGGTGTTACAATTTTGAGATCTGCCCTGGCCCACAAACTAAAAGGTCTTTTGTTTCTATTTTTCCATCTAGACATGATATCAATTACAATTGTACTAAAGTGGGCTAAACAGAAAGCAGGCCATTTTTCTGCTAGGTAGAATGCTAAAACATGAAAAGAACCTATATTTGATAGAAGTCTAAATTGAGTAAAGCAAGATGGGGAAAAAGATCGCTTTCTCTAAAGCAGGACTAATCCAATTATGTACAGAATATGGCTTTTCTTTTTGTTCATGTTACGTGGCAGAGAAAGAATTTAGCCAGCATCTATAACCATGAAATAATCAACCACTTTAACCTCCCAAAGCCACCCCCTGCACACACACACACACACACACACACACACACACAAATATGAGTTCCATGGCATAGAAAAGGGCTAACAGTATAGCTCCGTAGAAATGTTTAGACCTTTAGAATGCAATTTCCATTTATTTGTTGGCTTGCTTGATTTGCCCATATCTGTCTTGCAGACCCTGACTCATGAAATTGGACACATCTTTGGGCTCCATCACTGCCAGTGGCTGCAGTGTGTTATGCAGGGGTCCAATCACCTGGAGGAGTCAGACCGACGCCCAATAGATCTTTGCCCCATCTGTTTGCGCAAGCTGCATTCCTCCCTGGGCTTCAACCTCATGCAACGATACAAGGTACAATGAGCCTGTTTTGTAGCAAACTACACTCACAGTCAGGATGGTCCTTTTGTTCTCACATGACTGCTAAATGTGGGACTAGGGTCTGATGCTCAAGTTATTCCAGTGCTTTGCGAGTCGCTGCTGTGCTGCTACTTCTTACCCTGACTGGCTAACAAGAGAAATCCCAGACTATGCAGGAGGGCCCAGACGGAATCTGTCCCCTGCACCTGTATCAGTCCGATTCTTGTGCGGCAACCCTCTGGAGTCTAAGTCAACAGAATAAGCAGGATGGCCCGCCAGTGCAGCAGGGCTGGCTTCCTACCTTTTCAAGCAAGTGCAGTAATACGTGTTACCATCTCAAGAGCCCCCCACCCCCAAGATCATTAAGTACTGACTGCATTTCTGGGTGTGGGGAGGAACCCCAGCATAGTCTCCACTTTTGTCATCCCGGACTTTTGTGTGGGAAAGACCTGTGCTGTTGTAGTTCCCACATTGGTGGGGTAACATAATAATCCACTCCGAAAGGCACTTCAGGGCCCTCTAAGCAACTGCACCAAGGCAGTAGGGTTTGGTTGCTTGAGGCTCCTTTAGTGTGACTTTTTTTCCTCCAGTATCTCAAGAGTGTTACCTTCTGGAGGGGTGGGGGGAATGGCACATGGACTCACCAGAGTGTTCCACCCATGCTCTACACTGACGCATTCACAAGTTGTTACGTCTAGATCCAGATTTCAGTAGCTATGCACTATGGGCTATGAACAGAAGCAACTGGGTAGCACTCTAAAGCAGACCATGAGTTATGCAAGGGTTGTTTAACTGACCCGTGTTGGCCTGGTTTGGACAACGCAACAACCCCTGAATAGGGCAGCCATACACACCCTGCATGCCCAGCGGCTTCACCCTGGGTTGCTATGCTGGGGTGTCACAAACATTGTACAAACAGCCCCTCTCAAAAGAACAATGTGCCTAAAGATATTCTTGGTGCCTCAGCTGTGCTGAGGATGATGCAAAGACTTCAGAATCATCCATCCACCAACCTGAGAAGAATTTCTCCCATGCAACACACACATGACTTTTGGTAGGGAAGGCAGGATTCACCCACCCACATTTCCTTAGCTATCGAGGCTGCATAATGCCACCAAACTTTTTACTCCTGTGTTGAGCTCTCTGATGCTTCAGAGGAATGAGGGCCAGGGAGGACTCAGCTGGAGAAAATAATAGCTTACCCTGGAAGGCAACTTCAGCATTATTGAACTTCTGCACCTTCAACTTAAGAGGAAACCAACACAACAGTGCCTTATGTAATACCCCTTGATCTTAGTACAACGCCGTATGGGTTGGGAATTAATTTATCAGTCCTTCAGTTCTCAACCAACAGTAGATCGTAAGATAGTAGTGTGCTGAAGGCACTGCATTTTACAAATATTTGATGACTGTGAATTGCTCAAGACTGAGTTATATTTATCACAGTTCTCTTTATGAGGGAATAAACCCATAGATCTATTTTTAGCTATCTAAATGATTCTAGGTGACCTTAAAGGGTGGAATCTACATTCCCTGCTGTGTATAGATTTGCTTCCTGCAGCAATGAAAAGCATTTCTTTGTTTTGCTTTTAGCTACTTTGATGTAACAACATTGCTAGGTTTTGTTTCTTTGCTTCGTTCTGTCCTCTTCTTTTCTTCCGAGAAATAAGAAACTGGAGTCTCTGGAGAAAGCCAACATCTGAAACATGCACAGAATTAACTCATTTTGGTACAGAGTTGAGGTGTCAGTGCCAAACCAAATGGTTTATGTGGTCAGCTTTTTTAATCTGCCATGCCCATTTGCTCAGACTTCTAATCAGTATATTTCTTCTAGGCATTGCAGAGGTGGATAGAGGAAGACACTAATGAAACAGAAGCAGGACTCAGCAATGAAGCTAGATCAGGTTTGAAGAAACCAGTGGAAGCTTTTAAAGAAAGCTATGACTGGATTGCAAAATGTCTGGATCTTCTAGAGAAGTAAACCCTTTGGGTATGTGGATTCAAAAGGGACACTCTTGTTTATAGTGGTGTAACTGCTGCTGAAGTGTAATGATGAACTATTTTGTATAGTTCACTGAAAATTAAATACCCTGCCTTGTTGGATTTTTAAAGTTTCCTTTTGTCCCTAACTTTATGAGATCATCCCTTGTTCCAGGTATCAGATATAGCCCTATTTCAAAACACTTCAGCTACTGTGCAATCCACAGGTACTGATGCCAGAGATCCATCCTTGTCATGATACTTCAGTTTGCAGTTGAACCATGGCCTATCTGCAGCATAGCTGTGTAGCATTTTCTTATCTTGTAAACGTTGGATTCTGCAACAAGCAAGTTGCTTTCTGGCAAATAATGAGATGCACAAGCATTGTATCAGAGAACATCCAGATATTGCCTGTGCTTACATGTCATGGCAAGCTATAGACTAGCTAATGAAATGATGGCTGGCATAAGCAATATGCCAACACATGCAGCCTGTTCACTCCTGCTCCACTTAGCCCATCATTCAAACAGGCAAACAAATCAGGAAGCCACAGTTAATCATAGTTTCCTAATATGTCTGAATCCAAGATTATGGATAATTGCTCTTGAACAAGCCAAGGTTTGGAGCCAGTTTTTAAGTCTGTCTTCTTTTGGAGTGAAAGGAAAGTTTATGCTTTAATTCTGTAGTCTCGTGGTTGAGAGTAAACCCAGTTGAATGCCATGTAATTTGATCCTAAGTAAGTATGTATAAAATTGAACTGTTTGATCAGTTAAATTGCAGATGATTTGAATGGATGATTCAAATGTTAAGTGTGGCTGTTTGACCTCAAAGGTGCCTTTTTGAAAGACTCAAAAGAAGTGCAAAATAATCTACAGTTAATAATCAAAAGTTGCCACTTTTTGGTCAGAAATAAAAAAAATGAAAATGGTATTGTCTTCTATTACAGCCTAATCCAGTTCAACCCAAATAGCCTCACAAAATAAACAACCGTACCCTTTTATCAGGTAAAAATGGTTTCCAAGACTGATCAATAAATGTTATGTATAGAGAGCCCCGAGGCTAAGGGGGAGAAATTGAATGATTGAACCTGGTTGTATCTATCTGTTTCCCAGCAGAACAGACACTGCTGGAAGCAGGGATTCTGTCTCCCGCCTTTCTGGAGACAAATATATTCTGAAAGGTTGGATAACCCTTTAGAAAGGATGGGGGACTGTGAAGGTATAGGGCGAAGACGAGCATGTAGAAATCCCAGTGCATGTTTGGAAGCAGGCGTGTCATTCTTATTGGACCTCCCATTGGAGGGCACTCTTAGTTGATCTGATTTAAAGTATTTTTAATAAGCCTTTTTTAATAAGATGGGTCCAGTAAGCCAACTGTTAAGCAGTTACTAGATTTTGTCTAGTATTGTCAAGCTTTGGCCCTTACATAGGTACAACTACAAAGCATCCTCTTCTGAAAATGACTCCACATGGGGCCAGTCTTCTTAACAGGGTATTTGGAAATGCTCCCTAAGAAATTGGAACTGGGCAGAATAAAGGAACTATTTTTTTAAAAAAGAAAGAAAAAGCTATTAAGATGTAATAGGTGTTAAGCATTCAATTTCCTGTTGTTGATTTACTGTTACCAGGAGCTGGTAATACTTCCATTTCTGTTGTATAATCCTATTAACACACTTCCTTGCCTATTTATTGTTTAAATGCACTTTTTCTCTTTGCTACCTGAATAGGTCAGATTTCCCACTGTGCACAATTTTCCAGGTTAATTTTTCTTCATTGCAAAACTTTATGTACATCGTGTAAAAGCCTGCGTACTGTTAGTCATTAAGGTAATATTTTAAAACTTGGAAACATTTAGTGTTGTTCATATGGTAGAAGGATAAGGGAACATAGCTTTATTGGAATCCAGAAATTGTATAACTATAATTGTCGAAACATTTATTTTTAACATTATGCCATTGACAGGTTAGAAAAGTGGAATTATTATTATTATTATTATTATTATTATTATTATTATAACATTTCTATGCCGCCCCTTGCCGAAGCCTCGGGGCGGCTTACAACACAATAAAATACAATACAAAAATAACAATATAACAATATATACAGGAATGCCTGTATCAAAGAGGAGCCACACTAAGCATCGAAAAAGACAAGACAAGTGAGATATGTGATTGGATAGCCTAATATTTTAACATTAAAAGCAGTTTCAGTGGCCCCCAAAGTGCATCAGGGCAACCATGGTGAAGCTTTTTCCCCCAAGCTGTCAACTGCAGTAGTAATATGCTAAAATCATCTATAGAGGGGATAACCTCCTTTCTCCCTGAATTTTTTCCCCCAGCCTTCACATTTGCATACTACTTCAACTGTGGTTGAGGACGTGTCCTTACTGTGGTGATTTTGGCTAGGTTTTCACATAGTGTCAATTTATGATATGGGTTGTTGACTCCTGGGTTGTAGTGTTGTGCAAACCAGGCACACTGACCATTTTGGTTTGCTAACAAGGAAGAACCCAGAGAGAGAACCCATGGTGTGTTGTTGTGAACTCTGGGTTGTTCAAACCATGTGTTTTTGTTAATATAGGAATCCAGAACGGTGGGGTACTTGTAGGTTGTTTCACCAGCCTACAGAGACAGTGGACAAGAGTGGTGGAAGAAACAAAACCCAGCTCTTCTATATATTAGTACTGCAGTTCACAGGTGCATTTAGGATACAACAAGGGAGTAGAAGAAGGAGAAGGGAAACAAACAGCAGTTTGTAATTTCATTTACCAGATAAACTCCAGCTAGAACAACAAATGATGTGTTAGTTTTATATGTGAGCCACTGTCTGAGGCTGTAATACTGTGTACCAGAGATGTGTTCAAGCCCTTTACTCTAAGTCTCTGTCAAGTCTCAAGTCTTTACTTTCAAGTCCAAGTCAAGTCTCAAGTCATTGTAAGAAATTTTTGAAGCAAATCTGAAGAGCCAACCTTAACAGAAAAAAGGGAGGCAGTGTTGGAGTGTGTGTGTAGGAGTGGGAGAGTTGTTACTCTCCACCATGTTCCCTTCTGTACTTCTCTCAGGGATGTGTTGAAGTCCTTTCCTTCAACCGTGATTTATTGAAACAAAGCTGTGCTGTTTGAATTTATCAAGCTTGCAATTTAGAAAAATGATTTTCTTGACATGATTGGCCCCCAGCCTGGTGCTGTTACTCTCTCTGGAAATGTGCAGGAACAGAGCAAAGGCGGCAGACAGGAGAAGTGGTTGGCTTCTGGGACTTGAGAGGAAACTTGAGACTTGACTCAAATTTCTTGGGATGAGTTGAGACTCAACTTGATCTTGAAAGTAAAGCCTTGAGACTTGACTAGAGGCTTGAACACATCACTGGCAAACAGTAATATGTAGATAATCTTTTGTGCTCCAAATAGGCTCCCCACAGGCCTATTGTTGTGCAGATCTTGGGATTTTTTTTAATGACCCAGGCATATTTCTAGAAAGAAAGGTTTATGCACTTTTTAAAAACCTGAAAAGGGAGCTGGCTGCAATTTGCAGGTATAGGTTATTACAAAGGACTAGATTGTAGGTCTACTTGTGCATAAATTACCCAACAAAATATGAACCTGGGGTATGAAAGTCCCCTCAGGATGAAGTTAAAGGAGCACGTAGCGTCCAGCCTTAGCTACATTTATCTGAAACTAAGTGCAGCCGGAATTAATAATTTAATGGTAAAGTTTAGGACTCTGGGTTCAGTCTGGGAAAATATGCAATAGGGTAATTGTATGCCAAGCCAGTTGCATGCCAAGAGGGTAAAATACAGGGCAGGGGTGGGGAGGAAGATTGTCTCCTTTCCTTATCTATAACTTAAACATGGCCAGGCTACACACGATCAGAGGCACTTCGCTCTTAAGTACGCAGCCTTGAACTGGCATGAAGGACAGGTGGAGGTTTCCTGGCTAGGATCAAAATCCCGGAGTAAACTGGGATTTCAGTGGTACTGGAGGGTGCAAGGCGTTCAGGCATTTCAAATCTAACACGCTTTTTCGTAGTCAGAGTGCTCACAGGATCGGGAAATCGTCCTTCCGCGAAAACTTGCCCGTAACCCGGCCCCTAATGCATGCGAGGACACGGACCCCGCACAGGGCGCCTGCCAAGTGCAGCGCGGGGCGGGCGCGCATCCTGCCTGCTGAACGCGGCGGGGCGGACAGGGCTCGGCGGCTCCCGATTGGCCCGGCCCGGGAGAAGGGGCGGGGCGAGGCTTGCGCGTACACGTGCCATCAACCGTGCGACCTGGTAGCGGGCGGCGGCGGCGGCGTAACCGAGGGGTGGAAGCCTGAGTGAGTGAATGATCTTGCCCCCTTGGGGGCAGTTTTTTCGACCAGTGGCGCTTTCTAGCTTTGCCTGGGGGTGGGCTTAATGCAGGGGCCAAACGGATGGGCAAGACCAAACTCGACCCTTATCGGTAATTTGCAACTGGAGTCCCTTTTGAGGGGAGGCCCGCAGTGCTGGAAGCGTTAAGGAGACATGCAAGTCTGGCAGACAGTTTTCCCCAAAAGCGCCCCCCCAAAAAAATGGTATACCAGTATTTGATGCGCAGTACCCGGGGGGGGGGGCGTGATATTTCCGTGTGCAGTAAGGGACTCGATGGCACCTGTGCAGAAAGAGGCAGCCTCTAACTCGGTAGAACTGTAGCCTGGTTTTAGGGAGGTTTACTCGCAAGGCAGTCCCATTAAGTTAAGTGGGACTCGCTCGCTGACCGTGTCGGCGGGGTTGTAGCCGTTGCATACATTGGCTGGCGCGGGAGGAAGCTCCTGGAAGGGCACGGGCACGGCAAGGCGGAATGCGGCGCGGATGGAAATTTCCTCTCCGTTCCCCAGCGCCGCCTGGCAGGGAAGCCATTCTTCGCCCAGCCCACCCGCTCGGCAACCTGCCGGAGCCCTGGCCGCGCTAGGTGGGTGTGTCTCCGCGGCTGCCTCCGCTCCTCCTGCAGGACGTGGCGTGTTGAGCGGAACGGGGCCGCTGTGGGCTGTCTGGTTCAGTAAAGGGGACGCCTTTCTCACCGGGCTTTGCTCCGCTGGGATGGCTTTGTGGATGCCTTCAGTGGCCGAGGGGTCTCATTAGCGGGAGGACTCTGCATTTTGAGTCCTGAAGGGCGCGAGTTGGGCGGGGGGGGGGGGGTGGAATACAACTCCTATAGCTGGCTGGGGCGTGCTTGGAGCTGTAGTTCTTGAAAAAACTGCCTAAACTTGCATCGGAGGGCTTGATGTAGTCTTACGGTATGTAGGTAAGGAGGAAAACATAAGGACATCAACCGATTTTCCAGGCACCTTGGTTTGGGATTTTATTTTCCTGTTTAATGTTAGAACTGGTCCTAAGAAAAACTTTTTCTCCCTGTGCTTTGTCAAGTAAAAACAAATGCTCAGGGGGGAGCTTTAGTGCTTCGGATGAAGGTTAGGCACCCTGCATTTAGCATGAACTGATGTATTAAACTATTTTCCTATCAACTTCTGAGTTCAGCTGGATCTGCTGTGCTTCCAGCTCTCCAGGGCACATGAGATGAGGTTATAGCTGCACTGTGCAGCCAATCCTCGAACTCTGTCCATATTTTTCAGGCTATAGGCTGGGGATACAGCATGGGGGGAAAAAGCTCTTCCCCAGTGGTTTCCCTGCTGCCATCCCCCCACTGCTTCCAGGAAGGGGGTTAAGCCTTCTCATAAGTTGCAGTGGTGCCATCAAGCCAATTGCTTTCAGTCTTCTATTTCCCCATGCAGTGCCATAGACCCCGGTGTTGATTATACAGGCAGCTATTAGTGAAAAAAAAGCAACAGCTGACTATTAGTTTAATTGGTTTGCATGCAATGAATGGTTAGACAGTCTACGTAAAAACACAGACCAAGGAAGATCCCAGGGCACTTTTCAATGATGGATTATTGACAAACCTTCTTGATACATCCTGCCAAATATTAATGGGACCTGCCCATTATAACCCTTTATGGTACTTCAGGTTTTTTTAGTCCCAAATACTGCCCAAGTTTAATTCCAAAGAAAGATGCATTTAAGAGGAATGTGTCTATAAATTTATAATTCAACAAAGATTACCATGAGGAAGAAACACTAAATTACCTTGAAGTTTATTGATGGTTGCCCAAATAACCTTGGCCAGACATTGGAGGCCTAGATATATCCCTAAATAATTAGGGTCTACAGTTTGGAGCATTGTGTTTACAAACAAATTAGCAAACTATCTCAGTACCTTAATCTATTGGGTATTAGTATGTGGGGCAGATTCTGCTGGGTTCTTAGTAGCTCCAATAAGATTCTGTGGTTTCTGAGATAAATTGGAAGCCAGTGCTACACCCTGCTCCTGCAAGGAAGATAAAAGAAGACTCTCAGAAACTTAGGGTATATGCATAGACCCTGGTAACCTCTTGTGTAAAGATAATGCTGCTTACATCTGTGGTACTTGCAGCATGTTGTAGTAAGGGAAGTAAATATTTTCTATGTCTCTTACAGGAACAGTACACTAGAGGGAACTATATATCCTCTGGAAAGCAAAAATAACTGTCTCTAGCCTGATAACCTTACATTAAGCAGATCAATCGAGCATTTATTTCAAACATGTTAGGAAATCTTGCAGTTCATAATAGAAGTTTTCCTCTTTCTTCCCACTAAAATTGACACCTGTTGCCCAGTTCAGATTTTAAAATGATCACCCCAAGTAAGGTCAATATCTTGTTCTGCTTTCAAAGGTTTGCCATTCACAGGTAACAAAGAATTGGGCAAAGTGTCCTTTTTATTTAAAATAAGAAACAGAAATGCAAATAAGCCTGAATGTGCCTCATATTTTGGAAAATACACATTTACTTTGAGTCCAACAATTCAGTCTTTGGTATATTTTGAGTATGTGTGCCAAAGTTCGTGTACACCAAGGGGGAGTCTGAATTGGTCTTTTATTACGAACTGTAGCATGAGCTTTTCTGTGCTAATAACCATAATAGCCATCCTGGCTTCTGGTGTATATAATATACATGACATGGGGAAGTCATATGATGTCATCACAATCCAGTGAAACAAGGCATAATCATTCTTACTTTAGAAATGAGAAAGTGAGGTTCACAGTGTTTGTCTTGTTCAAGATCAGTCAGTGAGGCCACTGGATTGGAAGCCCTTCAGTTGGGCATTGAGCATTATGGCAGGGATACTCAGCAAAGAATTTCCTGTCTCCCCACACACACATACACACGTGCGCATGCACATACCTATTTTATTCAAACGGGAAAGTGTTCACATCCTGTAGTGATCTATTTATTTATTTAAAACATTTTTATGCCACCCCCATCGCAACGAAGCCTCGGGGCGACTCACAACCGAAACAAATACATAAATACACAAATAATAACAATATAACACTAAAAAAAAAAGCTATTGACTATACAGCTGAATAGAAAAAGGGCTGAAGATCATGTGACCATGGTCTGTATAGATCTCCTGGAGCAGCCTGCTGTCTTTGCCTTAGCAGGCTTGTCCACGTCGTTGACATAAGCTGGAAAGCCCTCCTGGCACTGCTATGCCTGGCGCTGGCCTGAGGTCTCCTGCTGCCTCTGGAGGTGGAGAGCACATGCTGCCCCCATTATGGAATGCCCTTCCTATTTTCACCACATTGCCCCCCCACGCTGTGTACCTCCCTTCGCCTTGCCTTTGTTGCTGCCATGTCAGCTCTCCTGGGTGTAAGGCAGTTGCAAGAGCTTGGCAGGCTGGATCTCACGAGAGCCACGGGGCTGCTTTTTCCAGCCACACAGTTCTTTATAGGGCTTACAGCATGGGCCCTCAAACTGAGGCCCATGGGCCGGTTCTGGCCCGCCATGCCCTTTTAACTGGCCCGTCCCACAGGTTTTGCACTCGCTGGGCGTGTGTGCGGCTTGCTCGCAAGGAGGATGTTTTGGAAATGCTTGGAGAAAACAATCTCCTCGTGAGCAAGCCGGTGCCTCGCCCCGCACCCCCCCATCTCTGCCTCGCCTCACGGGTGTGTGCGCCCTGCCCCCACACCAGCCCGCGCCTCCCCGCCAGCACCGCCTTGGCAGTCTGAGGCCGCCACTGGCACCTGTCAACTGGCCCTCTGTTCAAAAAGTTTGAGGATCCCTTACTTACAGGTGATGGCGTACAATGAGGGAAACAGTAGGCTGCCACTGCTCTCATTGTAACATGTACCATGGTGGGAGAGTGGTTGATGGGGTCCTCCAGAGCAGCTCTGGGGATGCTGGGGAGTGGTACAGTCCTATCCTGCTGCCTCGGGTAGACCTGTCATGCTGCTTCATGATAGGGCCCACTCTGTCTGTGTCCTGATGGTGCGACGAGATCTGGCTGTTCGTTTTTGCAAATTCTTTCAGAAAGGTAGCTGAGCTGTTCTACTGACGGAAGGAGCTTTGAAAGAGCCCTTGTTGAGAGAAGTGCATGGTGCCTGAGGCAGCCTTCTAAGGAGCCATGTTGGAGCAGTTGATTTAAACATAAGCCGTGTGCCTGGCCAGACTGACTGATGGACAGTATATGGTTGAACTGTGGTGCAGCAGGCTGAGGAGGATGGGAGGCTGAGAGCAATCTCTCTTGTTGGGGAATATTCAGTTGTATTTGGTTGGTTCAGAAGGCCCTCACAGACCAAGGAAGCATATGTGAGGAGGGTGGTGTGTGCTGGCCCTACCCGCTGTGGTCTGCACATTCAGAGTGCCTCAGAAAGACTCCTGCTTGGGCAGGCCTTCATGTGAGGGAGGATCCTGGGCCAGTCAAATGGAAAAGCTCTGTGTGCATGTCTCAGCCTGTACTTGCACATTACACCCCATTGGAGAGTCTGTGGACAAATGGCTTTACAGCAGGGGTGTCCAAACAGCAGACTATGGGCCACGTGTGGCCCAGGATGGCTGTGAATGTGGCCCAACACAAAATCGTAAACTTGCTTAAAACTTTATGAGATTTTTTGTGATTTTTTGGTAACTCAGTCATGCAGTTCTCAAACATGTACAGTGGTACCTCAGCTCATGAATGCCTCAGTTCATGGCCAAATTGGGTTGTGAATAGGAATTTCAGAAAAAAGTTGCCTCAGGTGGCGAACTCTGCATCTGGTGACGATCGCGATTGTCTGTGGCCATGATTGCGGTTGCGCTCTTGCAGGGAACATGGGCACGATCACGGTCATGCTCGGTGGGGGGGGAGATGGCCATGATCGTTCCCGTGTTCCCTGCCTGAGCGCGACCGCACCCATCTATGGCCACGATTGCAGTCGCGCTTGTGCAGGGAAGATGGGGTGTGATCATGGTTGTGCTGGAGGGGGAGATGACCCACTCGTGCTTGGGGTGGGTGAGATGGCCGTGATCTTTGTTCTTGTCACTTTGCTGCAACTTTTTGTGATTAAAAAAATGGTTACAGAATGGATTAACCTTATTTACATTGAACCTTATGGGGAAATTTGATTAGGTTCATGACCAATTTGGGTTGCGACCAGAGTCATGGAATGGATTAAGTTAGTGAGCCAAGGTACCTCTGTACTTTGTAGACAACAATGTCGTGTCGCAATGTCACGTAAAATAAAAGTACATATGCTCTCATCATTTGACGCATGCAAGGCTTCAGTTTTATGGCTGTGTGTGGCTTCCAGTTTGTTATCTTCCAAGTGCAGACAGTTGAATTGACACCATCAGATGTTACATGTGCTCATGGTGACCTGGAGTGTGAAATGCAGCTATTTATCAGTAATCTTTCCATTACTGTTGCAGACAATTTTATACATTTCACCAGGTTGGCTAAACACAATCCTGTGAACAGTACAAAATATGCAGCCTTGCTTTTTGATTTGATACAAGAATTTGAAAACAGACTTCAAGATTTTCGGGGAAATAATCACTCTTTTGGTTTATTTGTGACTCCATTTTCAGTTGACATAAATGTTTCCTGCCAATTTTCAGGAATGCATAGAGCTGCAATCTGACATTCAACTTAAAGAAAAAAATTTGACCATGGATTTTTATAGGTCCTGTCTTCCCAGAGGCAAATATCCTGTTTCACAATCATGCCTTACTTAAGTCTTTGCTTTTTCACAGCACCTACATTTGTGAGCACCTATTTTCAAATGAAACACAATTTTAAAATTACTCTAATTTTAAGAATAAAATTAGAACCAGAATATCTGTTGAGCATCTTGACAGCTCACTGAGAATTGCAACTGCTTTTACCACACCAGATACTGATGCATTAGTTTCTCAAATGCAATGTCAAATATCCCACTAGCTTTATGTTGCCCTCCTTTCTTTTACTTTTGCAATAAAAAATGAAAAAAAATCAATGAAGTTTTATTATTTAGATATGTTAGGGTTAGGGATCGGGATCACAAAGTTGGGACTTTCTTGACGATTTTAAAAGACTCTGAATGGGGCACCACATAATTAGGATTATGTGAGGACTTTTTTTGCCTATCTGTGGTAGCGGATATCACAAAAATTATGCACAGACCTTTGTGTTTGCTCATCAGCTTTTGTTAGTGTTTGTGTATTTAATGTGCCCCAAGACAATTTTTCTTCTTCCAATGCAGCCAAAAAGTTAGACACCCCTGCTCTACAGCTCCTTTCCCCCACATGTGCTTTCAGTGTGTGTGGAATTCTTTCAATGCCTTCTCCCCATTGTGGGATTTTTCATGTAATGCTTAAATAAAGCAAGTAATATAAAAATAGTACCCCCCATAAGTATTTTTCACTGTACATATTTGCAGGCAACATGGGAAGCAATGTGAATTGTTTTGCTGAAGATTGTGTACTGTTTCTGAACAGCTTCATACTGTGTATGTTTTGTTAGGTGTATGTTTATCATAACAGTTCATTCCATAAGCTTCCATACAGCCTGAAGTGCTTGATCCTACCTGACATAATCTATATTATTGCAAACTGGCTTCGTAAACCCCACTGAAGTCAATGATATTGATGCAGCCCGATTACAAAGGATTTTCAACAAGAGACTTGTTCATTGTTTTAAAGCAGTTCTAAATGATCTCTGAAAAAGGCCAGTGTTAAGTTACCAGTTTACTCACAAGCCTAGAAGTAGCAGCACTATGAGTAATGGAAGGAAGTACTGTGCTGAGCTACAGTCTTGCTTTCCATGCTACACTTTAAATCAGGCATGGGTAACCCTGCTTTGGAGATTCGGCTGTTGGGCAGCATAGAAATTGAATAAATAATTGTGTTCCTTGTTAGATGCACATTCCATTGGGGTTTCATTTGCTGAGGTAACAAAGTCACCCCATGGCTCCCCCCCCCCCCCCGCATCATTCTCACACCATTTGCTTCATTCTGTTTCTTGCAGAGAGCATCATTTCACAAGAAGTTCTGTGGCAGGACTTTCTCTCCATCTAGAAAGAAGAAACTAGGCCAAAGTGCTAGAGCTCCCTGCCTGCTCCCGTTCCAAGGGCCAGATCCCTGGTTTAAAAACAAGGAGCAGCCCCATGTCTGAGGAAAGTTTATCTGAATTAATCTAAGACAATAGCTCTAAGCCTGAAAGTTGTTTGAACTATTGAGCTGTTTGGGAATCTAACCTCAGCCAGATCTCTTTTATGGCCTGTCAAGGCCTTTGAGCTGTAACAAGGGGAAAGTTCCTTCTTTGTGAAGTCTTTCATGATACCTGAGGCTTGAAAACCCTTGTCATAATAACCCAGCTATTTATCATGACCTTGGGAAGGTTTGTAGAATATTTTGTTCGTTAGGGTGCCCTGAGTTTTTAATATCACTGTCATGATTAAAAGATGGACTAGGAGGCTTAAGAATGAAGATGTAATATTTAATACAAATACAGTATTTTTCTTTTAAAAAAGTTTATTGCAAAACTCAGTATTTGGTAGCACTTCCAGAGTTCACTAATTACAGTACAGAACAAACCAGCAATCCTGCTATGACTGTGTTAAATCCTGGGTTTGATTTTCTTGCATACACAAATGTGCACACGGTGGTCATGCTAATATGATATGTACATACACAGTAACCTAGGATGCAGTCAGTTATGTACACATTATTTAGTATTGGAAATCCTTGTAAAAATACAGCAGAACCTTGTTAATCTGCAGGGCAGCTAGGTTTTCCCATTCATGTATAACATCCTCTTTGACATACTAACTTTAGCAAAGTCGGAACTGCAAAACTGTACTTAAGTCTTGTATTATGAAGACTCCCTTAGTTTTGCCGTTATTACAGAGCATGTTTGCTGTTTTGCTTTTGAAGTATAATGATGAATAATAAGGTATACTTCCAAATAAATAAATAAATAAATAATTTATAAACGCAAGCCTCATGTTTGATCTTTACTCACTAGTTCAGAAATGGAAAAGTTAGCCATCTCCCTGGCAGAGATGGTGTGTGTCTCCCAGCAACTGCTGCAATTTATCCAGGTTCTGCTGTACGTGATAAAGTGCTGAAGGTATACAAAGGACACTGAACTGCAACATCATCTCCATAGCTTTCAGGCAATGAAGGAGTGTGGACTGCTAAAGCAACTCTGCTGCAAGAGCACCTTTTCCTGTATTTGGCGCTTTTTAACACCTGAACTGAACTGTTTTTAGTGGGACATACTTCCAAATAATTATGCTTAGGATCACAGCTTAGTGTTTTGGTATCAAGGATACCTAACTGGAAAGTATGAATCACTAAAAATCACCCAGCATCCCCCAAATGGGTTTCAACCCAAAAATGGGAATAACATTGAAATTGCAAGGAAACTAAAAAATGCATTCAGGATTCAGGTACCAGCAAGTTAAAAGCTTAGCAAAGGCTTCAGGAAAAAAAAAAACATTTCTATGTCTCATAATACCTAAATTAGCAGAACAATCCATATACAGTGGTACTCCCACTGAAATATGGAAAAACTTTTTAATCTGTGCAGTGTGTATTCATATCCAAAACAGATCTTTATATTTTCTCATTTTTGTCCCCCTGAGTTGTCTAGTGACAAATAGATGCATAAAAGTGGAATAAGCGAGCTTATGTCACCTTTCTTAAGTTATATTTTAAGAGTGAATAGTCAACATATTATTTTATCCTAGAATTCCCTTTCTTTTCACATAAATTGACTGAAAATGGGAGAAAAATCCAACTGCATTTTCTAATTATGCTTCTTGAAAGCCAGTGGCAAAATACACACTGACTTTCCTGTGCTAACAAGATTAGCATTCAGGGTGGTAGCATTCATTTTTTAGGACTAATTTGATGCCTGTGGCAGTTGTCAAGTACTCTTGTCATATTGAAAAAATGTAAACTGCCACGTGTGTGTGTATGCGCGTTAAATGGCACATTTCTCTTTGCTGCTTTGGGTTTTCTGCATTGATCCTTTTCTTGGTTCATATAGAATGTAGCTGATTAATGGAATGTTTACAAATGAACAAGTCTCCAAGGCTCAGCTCATACATCCTGCCCTTCCATGTTGCCTGGTGTGGTGCAAAGCTGGCTTAAACCACAGAGACGGCCCTCACAATGAAGGGTGAAGGTCTGGTTAACAGCATGTCAAGAGATGCAGTGAGGCTTTAACCTGCAAATTCTCTTGTATGATTCAGAAAAAAAAAAAAACATTTAGCTATAGGCTCTATTTTTACCACATAAATGGTCTTAATGCAATACCCAACATACTTGAAATATTTCATCAGATCAAACTACAATGCTCAGCCATACAGGACCCTGCCTTTAATGTATTACCAAATGGAATAACACAGTCTTGTTGTTTTGGCAGTGATATTCCAAAACAACTACTGTGCTTCATTTTTAAGGCATGGTTTGTCTCAGAATCCTTTTAAATAAAAAACAGAATTGCTACCTATGCCTTAGAGTAATTATAAAAACCCTCAGGACAAATGTATGAAAGAATTGAATAGACTGGAGTTGTTGTGGCTGTTTTTTTAAAAGACTTTACCCCTAAAGGGTTGATTCTAATACTTTAAAAATAAGAATAAATACTAGTTTTAAATTAAATCACAATGCAATTATGTTGATTTGTCCAACTACCAAAAGGGAATTTTAAAAATTAATGGTGCAATTCTATATATGTCTATTCAGAAGCAAGTCTCGCTCAGTTCACTAGAGCTTATTTGATGGTAAGTGCCTGAGACTGCAGTTTAAAGCTGCAAACTGAACTCAATGGATCAAAAGTTTGAATAAGTATGTATAGGACTAGACTGCAAGAATTTAGGCAGGAGTGAAAGGTAAGGTCATGAAATATCTGCAGTAGTAACTGGCCATAAAATAGAAGTGGTGGTCTCCAACTTTTCAGTACTTCTGAAGTTCAAGCAAATATTTAAAAACAATCCCAAACCCCTGCTATTCATGCTGTAAGGTCAGTCTTCCCCAACAGGGTGCCATCCAGATGTGTGAGACTACAACTCCCAGCGCTCCTGACTATTGGCCATGCTGGCCTGGGTTGGTGGGAACCAAAGTTCAAAAAGCTGGGAAGGCTGATTGAAGTTGCAGGGTCCTCACCCCTTCTCTAACTATTAAACCCAACCCCCTTTATCCCCAGCAACTAATATCTAGAAGAATCCTTTTCATCGGATTCTTGAGGGGGGGAATGTTCGGGGTGACTTGTTTTATCAAATCATCTCTTTTGTGTTGCTCTTTCTGTCTCATTCATTGCTAGAGCAAAGCTTCTGTTACAAGGATCTAACAATATGGAAGCTGCAAACTAATAGTTCTCATTATGTGATCCACATTTGATTCTTTTTTAACATAATTGATGGTTTCTTCCCATGAATGGAAATTACATCTCTTGTTAAGAACATGGGAATTTGAACCACAATTTCATGCTGGGTAGGAGTGCACTTACAGGGTTATTGAGTGGAATGTAGCATTCCAGGTGTTTTCAAAACCTATGTATCATTACTCAGACTTTCTAAAAGGATCGATAAATCTGCTCAAATTTATGATTTTGCATTCCCTTTAAAGTGAAGTTTTTAGAAGGTGGTCCAAAGCTGACTCGTTTCCCTCCCCCACCCCTCCAGTCTCTAAACAATTTCAAGCCATGCTGTCACTTCCTCTTACAGCGTCCTCATTTCTTCCAAGATCGGGTTCTATGAAGTCATCTGGTACATTCTGTAATGGCTCAGACAGGTTCTTCTGTACTGGTTGCCTCTTACTTTGACACTGTAGCTTCTTGCAAGGCCTCACCAAGGAAAGGAACACAGCAGCCAACAGCATGCCAGCAGCACAGGAGTAGAAGGCAGAGCTATAGTTCTTTGTCGTATCCACTAGTACACCTGTAGACAGGAGAGAAAGAAATACAGAACATCAGTTGAAGCTTCCTTTTATATCATCCTCTACTTTTTAAAATGCTTTGCAAAGTTTTCCTTCCAGGGCTGTATTTGTAGATTGCCTCAACTGATATTTCCCAAGTCCACAGAAGCAGATTCAGGATTTAATGTGAGAACAGTTTAGGGGAACATGGTAGCCAAATTTTATTTATTTATTTATTTATTTATTTAAACATTTTTATGCTGCTCCATTCGCCGAAGCCTCGGGGCGGCTTACAAATGCTGAGGTAAAATGCCCCTTGTGCCTACGAGGTATTCCCTCCCATCTCCAGTGTTTCCCTTTACACTCCTGGAGTTGCGGGACTTATGTCTTGTTTTAAGGAAACGTTTGGGGGTTTATAGGAGTAGCTTCTGAAAAAAAAAAACCCTATAAATGTCTGCAGACTCCTTTGGCTTGCAGCCACACTCCACATACTTAGAAATTGGACTTGCAGATTTGCTAAAAATGATGTTCCATTGAATTCAGCAAAATGTACTTCCAAGTAAGTATGCTTTGGACTTCAGCCCAGTCATCTTATGAGCTCCAGCTTGTAAACAGGTTTAGAAATGGTGTTGGAGTTGCTTCCAGAGCTGCAGTTGTTGAACAAACCTACTACTGTATTGAATAGAACTGTGACCACCAAATAGACTGCATTTTTTGCCAGCAATATAATGAATATGCCCTTAAAAACAAAATTGTCCTAATGTGAGGCTTCTGAGGTATGCTGTGGTGCCAGTAACAATTTGGGAGTTGTGTACAACTGTGGCTGGCATATCACAAGGCAGGTTCTCTTAAGCCATTGCTAAGGAAGGCCATTCCCATCCATGCAGCTTTCTGGGTCACTGGGCCAGTCACCAGCATTCAGCTCAAAATAACTCTCAGGGTTCTTGTAAGGATAAAATGGGGGGAGGTCATATATACTGCCTGTAAGACCCTTAGAGGAAAGCAGAATATAAATGAAATAAAGAAAATTAAGAGTGTCCAATAGGTAGGATGAACCCCTCCCCAGTGCAGGGTTGACAAGATTCTTTGCTTCAATTGCAAGTATTAAAAGGATTGGGGGGGGGGAACGATGAGGCAAAAACCCCTCATAGGATTTGGGCATTGGTTTAAACTGTTCCACTTGTGAACCAGAGGGGATCAGAGAGGACAGGACAGGAGCTATCCTGGGCCATGCCCCACCTCCTCCTCCCTGCTTCTGAAGTGTTGCTGCTAGATGGGCAAAAGAGCCTGTCTGGTGAAAACCCCACTGCTTTTCCTGCCCTGCCAGTGCCATCCAAGCTTGAAGGCTTCTGTCTTATAACCCATGCAGTTACATCCCAGAAGCACTTTGAAGGGCAGTAAAGAAATGAAAGTATTATTGTTGTTATACAAGGAAAGTTCCTTGGATGGCAGCAAGTTAGGTTAATTTAAGTCAAGGGAGGACAACCTTTCAGCCTCAGGACCACATACAGCTTTGAAGAACCTACATTCTCCCAGAGGCTCCCATTCCAGTGGTGGCTGAGGTGAAGGGAAAGGAGCGGGAGGTGAAGGGAAGGAGCTGGGACCAAAACCATCCTCCCCAAGCATATGAAAGCAATTATTGCCAGTAACCAAGCCTTACTCGTAGCAGGGGAATTTCAGCCTTACAGCATATGGAAAAAAGCATAAAAGCAGGGAAACCACCAAACAGTCACTAGCTGGGGGAAAAGGGGGTGGTGTCTGGGATGATCCCAGATGAGGTTCCCCATTCCAGCTTGAAGTCTTCTCCTTCTTGATTGCTCACCCCTTAGCCAATTGTCCAAGAAAGCTCCAGCTTTCTTCTGCCTCAGTATCCATCCATGTTTCTCAGTTCCTCATGTTTACCCTGGTCACATGAAAACACTTGTTCTCCTTCTTGGTTGTGCCCTAGTTAGACCTTAGCCTTTGCTATCACTAGTTGAGAGGTTGAGGACAAGTACAGAACATTTGGGTGCACCCCTGTTACACTACTCATTCTTACCTGCAAGGGGTGGTCCAGCCAGCCCTGATAAACTTTGAATAAATACATAAACCCCTGCAGCAGACGACATCTTCTCGATGCCAACCACATCATCTTCAGCTAGCATAGGAATGTGAGTGCCTGCTACTGTCCCAAGCATGAACCCAAAGAAAATGCTACATATCATTAGTCCCCAAAATTCATAGGCAAAAGGAAAGGCAAAGAGGGCAATATCCAGCAGAATGACACAGATGAGTTCGATGTAAATTTTTCGTATAGGCTTTTTGTTGAGAACCCAGCCAGCAGTGATTCGGCCGAAGACCTCAGCAATTGCCATTGCTGACAGTATGTATGCCGAGCGGTCCTTGTCAATGCCAAGGCTCATGCCAACTGGAATTATGTATAGGGAAGGAGCAAAGAATCCCAGAGTAGCAAATAGACCAAAGAGTGCATAACAAATAAAGCTATAGTTTTTCATCACAGAGAAGTCTAGGAGTTGGACTTTTGGTTCCTTAGGTGGAATGCTACTAGTTTCTATGAGCATCTCTGCATTTTCCTTTTGTTCTCCTTCACTTCTCAGTTCTAGTTTGGCATCTCCAGGCATGTTGCAAGTTGAGGTAGTTACTTCTACTCCTGAGTCAATGGAATCTATTGAGGTGCGTGTCTGCTCGTTTTCAAGCATGTATTTTGTCTCTCTTTGCTCTTCCACTGGAGGTGCTTTCACCACTTCCTGTGCTTTGAACACAATGGGTCGCAGAAGTGATCCACAGGCAATGATTCCGAGTTGCAGTAGACCAACAAACAACAGGCTGCATCTCCAACCAATATGTTCCTTCAAAGCAGTGATGGCTACAACATAGGAAAAAGTTATGTATATCCATTAATGGAATAGAAACTTTTAATTTATAATGCTACATCAAGAATATTTTGAGGCTCAGTTTTGGATTCAAGTTATATCTGAACTTGTTCATAGTATGTCAACATTAGGACTTACACAGTCTTCCTACTCTTAGCTCAGTTCATTTGGCTGAAGCTGGCAGGGTGGGAAATAGGACCTGACATATGAGTTTGAAGTTTCTTGCACTAAAAATGTAGGTGCAGTGCATTCCCTCAGCACAACTTACAATTTTTCCCACATGCAGTGTAAAATTGAGGAAAAAATTGAGGAATAAGTGTTGTCAATATCAGTGCAAACTGCACTTAGATGCTGGCTGGCTTGGACAAAGGGGAGGCAGGGAATCTAGTACAGATGCCTTGCTTTGTCTGCTAGGGTTTTCTGTAAAATCGTTGAAATGGCAAAGAACTTTATACTCCACTCAAAGAGCTGGAGTTCTAGCTAATGCCATTTTTTCCTATTTTCACTGAGGAGACATACCAGACAGAGAGATCTACTTTTTCCTTTGGTCTTTGATTTATGTGTTGAACATATTACTGTGTGCCACCTGACTGTGCCATTATGCAGTAAGGTAGTATTCATGACTTTAGGCGTGATGCTGAACCTTTACTGTTTATAGTGGAACCCCCATCATCTGATTTGCTTTGATGCACCTGATTAATATTTTGTCTGGCTAGTCAGTTAATTGCAATCTGAACGGATACTGACTGGAGATACTGTATCTCATACTGTATTAGCTGATTAATTTCAGTGGTGCCCTAATGTTACTACCTATTGGGAAATATTTATTCTCAGAGACATATTTCAAATGATCAAGATTAATTTGAATGAACTGATTAATGAGATCTCTCTGAGTTTCAGATAGATTGGCATCTGAAAGCTGACTTTGTGGGGTAATGTAAATATGTACAAGATGAATGCTATACTTCAGCTTGTTTATGTTATAGTTGGGATATCTCTTTCTATACCTGGCAAATATTTTCAAAAAAATCAGTACTTTGTTGGGGTAGATGAAGGATCTTTTCTGCCATATTTAAGTTTGAAAAGGATGTAACTTGCAAGGAGGAGGGTTTCCAGATCTTGCTTTATACCATTGAGCTTATTAGTTGATTTGTACTAAATGTTAGCCTTTTGGTCGTTAGATCAGGTTTTCCATCTCATTGAATGGCTGGCATTAGGTTTTAGATATACTGGAACAGATGCGGTTTCCCCCATGATTATGATTGGTTTATATATACATGTGGGTTGGGGCACATAATGTTTCATCAAAATTGCTAAATTGATGCTATGAGGAAATCCAGATTTATAAAGCAGTAAGAAAATGTTTTTGTTGGAGTCATGGACAGAGAGAATGATTTTTATGTTGGCTTAGCCAGTGGGTGCTACTTCTACTTACAAAACATACTCAGCTGTGCAACTGCAGACATTTGCACTTGCAGAACTGCACAAATAAGAGATCCTCAGGTAAGTCATGTATAGGGGGCTGTTGGGAAAGTCCAGCTAAGCATTGCCTAAGAGAGGCTGCAGGTAAGCTTATTTTTCCTTTGGCTTCTTCTGACAACTGTCAAATGTAACCAAAGATATGAGTAACCTTACCTCATGAGTAACCCCATGAAAACAAGTGGGGGTGTTTTGGCAGGAGACTATACAGGCATGTGCACTCTATATACCTGTACACCTTCCTGCCAGCTCCTTTTTGTTTAACCGTTTCTAAATCTCACTTGAAAAATGGAACTCTACTTCTGACAGCTGTCAAAGCTTACCACTTCAAGCAGAGGATAGCTTGTACTTTTGCATGTTCCCAAGACAGTGGAATCTCAGGAACAAGCGCAAAAACGAGGGCACTGTTTGGACATGAATTCTACCCCAAAATCCTAAGGAACCCACTGCAAAGGCAGTGAACATCCACAGCTGCAAAAATGCAGGTTAAAAATTAGAACAAATTTGCATTTCTCTGCCAGATAGAGATTACAAATGCTGGCTTGGCAGCTGGTTTTCAAGAAAAGAGAAGTTTAAAGTGGAAAAAAAGACTTAGAATTGAAAAGACTTTTGTTTGCATTAGAGAGGGACCAGACAGCTTGATTCTCCTGTAGTGTCCCCTGGGTACCTGTGGGAAGGCCAGAGGAAGAAGGGCAGAGGTGTACTATGGGTTGTTTTCATATCAACCCAATGTGTTTTATTGCCAGGGTGGCTTGTCATGATGTGTGGATGCACTTATTACAATATCAGAAGAATAAATGTTCACTTCGTATATTGCAATCATTTGGAAACCTTACAACACTTTGAACATTTGAATGGGGTCTGTATAGACACCCCTTACAAAGGGAAACTTATCTGGGTATTTCGGCTGCTTTTGTTGAAGTGCATGTCTAGTTCTTAGAACCCTGTGTATTTGTGCTTTCTCTCTCTTTCCATAAACACGCATTCAGATGTATGAAGGCACTTTTTTCTTTTCTCATATTGAAATTTTACAATAAAATACTTTTAAACCCCTTTGAGTATCACACCTGCTGAAAGTGTCTCCTTCAACCATGACAGGATGAGTTAAACTGTATCAAGAGAAAAAGGAAGACTCTTCTTCTGTAGATTAGCTGGGGGCAGTGGAGATTTAAACCCAAAAAATGGTTTTCTTGGAAATATACTTGGAGAAACGGCATCTCACATTCAGATAGCCTTGATGCAATTTGAGTAGGCTTCATTGAGTAGGCTGCAGGTTAATTGCAAGAATGGTGTTCTTGCAATTAGGTTTCATAAGTGGGGAAACCTGCAGCTGATCTACCAACTAACTTTCAAGAAAACCTTTGCATTATGCATTCACAGCAGGGATTATTTTTAGCATGGTAAATCAATATGGAAAGCCCACCAGACTATATATGAAGTCAGTTTGCTCTGCAAAGATTGTAAAAATAGCACCACATGGAAAGTGTTTGAGTGGTGATCATGATGTGATGTTTTTTCCCATAATATAATAATTGGAAGTGAATAATAGATTGATCTGTAGCTGTAGGGGGAGAAAAAGCATATATTCTGAAAGCCTAGTGTACATCTTTTCCTGTCCTGCTTTCTGAAAGATTTAGTAGTTCTTTGATGAATGTGACAGAGAGCTGCTTCCTCTGCCCACTCATGTTTAGAAGTATCTGTGCCCTATGTAGTATCAAGCTCTGGGATTAAGAACAGAGAAGCAACGGATCAAGTCAGGATCTATTTTTTGATGTCTTGCAAAGCTATATGATCTTTAAGAGTGCCCTGAAAGGAGTTCGGGATTTGAATCTAGTAGACTTGGGCTGAAACCCCTATGCTATGGTATACTTGCTTTCTGCTCTACTGCAAAGTCAGAACTGATCTGTTCTCCAATTGAATGCTGCAAAAAGTGACTCACAGAACCTGTATAATCTGAAGGCATGGACTTGGTGTGTTTTGGGAGCTTTAAGCGATCCAGTTAAAATGTGAGAGAAATCTAGCTGAAGCTAATTCTAGCCCCCAAAACAGCTGGGAATTTTTAGGTGATTCTGAAGGCAACATCTGATTGAGGGAAATATTGATATACCTATACAAAAAGATTGCATGAAGTCAATGGAACTAAAGAAGATATAAGGTTGAGGCAACAATCATCATAGAAAAATTCCAAGGAATGTGTTTCAATACCTGGTGCAAAGGAAAAAACAGCAAAGCATTCTCCTGTAGAAGCCACTGCTGTGACTAATGAACGCCTTTTGTCAAAATACTGTGACAGAATGGTGACAGTTGGGAGAAAGGCAAGGCAGTATCCTAAGCCTGTGAATTAATGGAAAAGAAAAGCAATTAGTACAAAACAGAGGTGCTGACATAGGACTAACTCTTGAAATGTTGGTTTCCCTTTCTGGGGTTTTTTAATCACTTACTCTGGGAATACCAGCTACTACCAGAGACCTTGACTTTTTAATTTTTTTCTCCTGATTTATATCCTGCCTTTTTCCTACAAAGGGCTCAAGGCAGCTTACATCATTCTCCTCCTCCATCTTATCCCCACAACAACAACCCTGTGAGGTAGGTTGGGCTGAGAGTCTGTGACTGGCCCAAAGTCACCCAGTTGGCTCCATGGCTGAGCGGGGACTCGAACCCAGATTGCCTCAGTCCCACCCTCTTAACCACTATACCATACTGGCTTTCTTTTGTAGTAGTAGCAGTTGCAGCAGCAGCAATAATTTACACTACATTTATATTATGATTACTAGGAATGTTTTGTGACAGGTTTTTTCAGTATATGCGCTGCCAGATATGAGGTCGTAAATTTAATTCTACTCATCATGTGGTTAACAACACTAGGCTCAATCAGCAGAACCAGATAGCTCCACAAACCCACCAGGAACCAGTATTTTATACCTTGGCCAGTTAGGTACCTGGCATGTTTCCAGCCCTGAATCTTTCCACATTTATCTAAGAGAGTTATGATAGCTGGCAACTTTATTGAAAGATGGAACATGTAACTCACCTGAGACTATGCCAATTGAGATGTACATTTCAACAACTGTGCGTGCAAAGGAGCCTACAACCATTCCTGTACTGATTAGTACTCCTCCAATCATCACTACCAGACGATGACCAAAGCGATTAGACAATATTGTAGAAAGGGGTGCTGCAGAAGAATGGAAGGATGGTTATTTTCTGTGGCTGTTAAAGTGAATATAGTGGCTTGCAGCCTCTGGTGTCAGGAGGAGTTTTACTCACTATTTTAGCACAATGAACTTGAATATTGTGGAATAAGAAATACTGCATGGATTAGGATTTTTTTAAGTTAAGGGGCAACTCTATATTTTCTTCTTTTATACAAGTATATTAGCAAGTTCAGAGTCCCATATATACACACACACACACACACACACACACACACACCCTTTAAATAATATTGTATTAAACAGGAAGGAGATCTGGCAATGTGTAGGGCAATATCCAGAGCAATTCAAAACAAGCACAGATATTTAATTCATTCTCAGGATTATATCTGAGTTCTATTTTCTCCAAAAAAGAGATGGCTTGTTGTGCATCGTCTCACTTAGGATAAACTTTAAGAAATGTAATCCACTTGGACGACCTTCTCCTGGTTTGCTACACTGAAATCAGGCACTCTGCCCTCATGTAGCTCCCAGAAGTCACAGTCAGTACAGGCAGAGAATGAAGTTGTGTCCTAACACGTAATGGCGTCTCTGCCCTTGTTCTTTCTGTGTTTTTTTCTTTCAGATTTCCTTGTCCTCCTACTTCCCCATTCTCTCTTCCAAATCTTCATGTTTAAACTCTTACAGTAATGTTTGTACATCCTTTTCACTAAACCTGTGCTCCTTTAATGTGAGTCAGCAATAGAAGTTGCCACAGGTAACTGTGCTTGTGGCTTACTTAAAACCTGTTTTTTTCTTAAATTGTGGTACCAGCCCAGGAATGAGGAAAGCCCTTGAGTCTAGCTGAGAAACAACTCTTCAGCTGAGTCTCACTGTGTTGGCAGCTTTGCCTTTTAGGGTTTGCTGACATTAAAGTACAATATCAATACATCTGTTCATTTTAATCTGCTACATCATAGTACTAATGTAGAATAATGATACCTGTACATAGGCATTACTACCTAGCCTTAACAGCTCAGTCTTACACAGAGTCTCTTTAAGTCCATTGAATTTGTTGGATTTAGGTCTCCTTAACTTTGTGTAAGGACCAAGCTGTTACAAGGTCACTGATTAAACAGAGTATCTGCCATACACTCACCTGTAAATGTTAGTACAAATACACATATTGAGATTATCCATGATATCCTGCTGTTGGTTTCCTCAAAACTTTGCACTAAGTCTGTAAAGAAGACTCCGAAAGACTTGATAATGCCATATGTCAAGGCCTCCACAAAGAAGAAAGCAAATGCCACAATCCAGCCCCATCCTCCATCAGGCACTTTAGTATAAACATTTGGAGCAATGCATGACATTCTTGTTGCTTTGACAGTCATTTTCAATCTGGAATAGAAGAGGTAGGTATTTACTAAATTATAAATACCTGTCCTAAACACTTCTGCTTGGAAGCACATTTGATGGGTTCTGTGAGGCTTATTTCCCAGCTTCCAATGGGTGGCTTTGGCAATATCCACTGGGCAGCTCAGCCTCCAGTTCTGTTGCGCCTCTGTAGTTTTCTGCCACTTGTGCAAGAGAGCTTTGGTGCTTCTAAAAATAACCTCATATTTTATTAAGGTTAGTGAGCAGAAACACTTGGGATAGATTGGATAGGTCAGTGGAGTTCCCACCAGTGAACTCCACTGACCTGCTCTGTTTGAGAAAACTAATACTTTTGTTAATTTCAGATTATTTTTAAAAGCACCAGAGCCGTGCAATATGAGCTGTGAATTCTGAGACTGCACAGGCACATTACAATACTACCCCCTGTTAAAAAGTGTGACTGTCTTCTTTGCACAGAGAGAGTTGGGAAAATGATTATCTTATTGACTGCTATTTTAGAATTAAGCGTAGTATATTAACAGAAGTCTCTCCTTTTATAATCATATTGAATTGAGAAACAGAAAATATATTTAATTGTAAGGACCAGCTGCTTCCATTTAAGAACACAAGGAACTTCCATCTGATATTGTAGCGGTGAAGCAATTTTCTTAAATTCCTATGATAAATCAAACACCCAATGAAATTTCAGAAATGGTATGAAAAGATTGTCCAAACTTCACAAAGTTGGGCTGTGTTTCAAAATACTTAACCCCTAATAACAACTGGTTCATTCTTCCTTCTTTCCTGATTAGGTGTCCATTGTAGCTCAGCTTTCTGTATAGACGGAAAGATCTATAAAGCTCCATGTCTGGGAACCTTGATCGGTGTGGGCACCCATAGGCTCTAGCGTCCTCACTTAATGCCCACCCAGCTCCCTATCCTGATTTCTTATATTAAAATTAGAAACAAAAACTGGGAGGCTGGTATGCTGCAAAATAAAGCGTGAAGCTTCAGTACCACCTTTTGTTCCAAGAATGCCTCTGGGCCTCACACTGGCCCATAAGGCGTCCTTAGAAAATAAAAATGGGTGACTGTGTCCAGCACTTGGTTTTGACACATGCCAAGCTGTTCAGAAAAAAAGAAAAATGTAAGATGGGGAATTGCAGGGATCATCCTAAGGGACTAGATGGAGGTAGCAGGGAACAAAGTACATGTTTGGTCTGTGCTGTGTATCTATATGTGTGAAATGTTTTCGGTGTGTGTGCTTGTTATCTGGTTTATTTTGGTGTAGTGAGTTTTGCATGTGTGTTTATACATGAGGTGTGGCTTTTGGGTGGCTTTCCTGTGTTTGGAGATGCATGTCTTGCCCATGTACATTTCTCTGAGCCTCACTATTCTGCTGGGAGGGACGGGGGGCAGGGAGTATATGATGATTTAGCACTTTGTACTCAGTTTCTTGGTCAAGCTGCTTCCCTCTGAGCCTCAGCTTGTTTTGTTTTTGTTTTGTTTTTTGTGTGTGAAATAGCTGTTGGATTCAAAAGAATGGTTTAGGAAGCCCAGTACCACCTCTGTCTTAAGCTTCATAGGCCAAGTTACTTTTCTGTTTAGGTTCATCAGTTTGCCTTATGGGGAATAGGGGCTTTGTGACTGTCCACATGTACCATGGCAGCCATTTTGTTAATGGGCAAACTCCTTCATGGCAGCCATTTTTTGAGAGCTGTGAGGCCCAAAAGGTTGGGGACTCTATAAGAAGTAGAGTTTGAATATTTTTACTTTAAAAAAGCTTTTATAAGTTGAGGATAAGCTGAGTGCTTATAGTGGGCACCCACATTCAAGGTGCTTGGTAAGGAACTTTTACTGAGTTCCATAATTCATTTTAGATCAAGGGTAGGCAACCTAGTGTCCTCCAAAATGTTTGGACTACAGCTCTGATTGACTCAAGCCAGCGTGACTTAATAGTCAAACATTATGGAACTTATAGTTCAAAACATGTGGACAGCACCAGGTTGCTTCCTACTGCTATAAAACAGTGTGAACAAGCAGGCTTGAAAAATAACCTTTGTGATGCTGCTTTGCATAGTTTAAGTTTATTTGGATCCAGCTCATTGTCCTCTATTAGTTCTTAGAAATATAAGTACATGTAAAGTAGTTTATACTTTGCTAACCCTTTGAAGTAGAACTCTGTTTCATATGAACAAAACACTCTATCACCACAGTGAGCTAAAATGCATTCCTAGCTGTGGAAGGCTGGGTGCTTTGCTGTCAAGCAAGTTTGGGTGCGTATGTCAACAGCAAATAATTAAGACTATCATCTATTCTTGATAATTTGCTGACTGCCATTCTAATAAAAGTGCCCAGTCAAGCATCTGGCTGGTGACTCTGCACCCGCCTAGAATAAAATCAGTTTGCTAATTGTAGATAGCCTCTTGTTTTTTTTTTTTTTTTTTTTTAGCACTCTTTAGTGTCTTGCATTTTTTTTGGGCCACACTTGAAAGTAATATAAATTCAGATTATCACTAATGAAATTCTCCTTTTCACTGAAGGTGGTGCCATGGACAAATTTAGCAGACTTGTTTCCCTCAGAACAGTGAATGTGGGCTCCCTTAAAAGGAGCACATTGTTCCTGATCAACTGTGAAATATCTTGATATAGTAAACGCTAAGAATGTATTAGCATATCTTCACAGTGTACTTCATAGCAACTTGCCACAGAACAAATCTAACATTGCAAATTCGCTGCATGTAGCCACACTGGTCATAAGTTTCGGAAAAGGCAAAGAGCGCAGGTTCACTGACTTGGGGCTCCTGGGCACCACAGGCAGTTCATCTTTCCTTTCTCTAGGGACAGTATCTCATTTGCAATGTGAAAAATAGATGAAAACTCCAACAACCATTCATTTTACCCCAAGTCAACAGCCAGTGCTGTTCCTCTTAAATTTACACTTTTGAACTTTTTGTAGAAAACACCCACCTATCATGTTCGTATGTCCAGTTGTTCAGTACCAATTAAAATCAGTTCAAGTTAAATTACATTTGTCATTCTGTATGTCCAATATACAGCCTTAATTACACAGCTTCTAAGAAGCAATTCTGTGTTATGTAATGGGCAACCTATTTGTATACACAGTTAGGCATTCCTAAGCCCATTGAAATCAATAGGCTTAGCATGCCCAACTTTGCACATGACTGAGAGATTATTTTGGGAAAGTAGTACTGAAAGACTTTGTAAAAATCATTTACAGGATTTCGCATATGCAGAAAGTATTAAGTATGTTCATTATAACAATTGGTGCTGGCCTGCAACAGTTAGGGGTATCTCACTTCAGAATGTTCAGTATTACCGTTCAAAATCTCTGCCACTGATATGCCACTTCTGTCAAGTAGAACTGAAATAGGGATTCAGGGAGACAGTTTTCTGAACTACATAGGTTTGCAGGAACCACAGGAAGATTGCTTTTATCCATTCATTAAATTCCTCTATTGTGCAGCCAAAAGGTATTGAAATGCCACCTTGTAGAACATTAGATGTAAAGGATAAACAGTTAAATAAATAGTAGGCATTCTTAATAATATACAAAGACTGTATGAGGTAGTAAAAGCGGTTTTTCTGCAGTAATGCCTGCAATGTGCAGGTGCTTCTAAGCCTCAGTCTATGCCCCGATGATCTCACGTTTGAAGGAACCTGAAGATGAGCCCAGTGATTTAAGAATCTTGCGTAAAAATAAGAACAAGACAACTGTTCCTATTACAACCTTGATGCAAACTGACTAAACCTATCCTTTTTTGATGAACAATGTTAACTATTATCTGTTAAAATGGTAGCAAATCCTCCCAAAAATGCACTGACTGAGTTTTTCATTCACAGGCTGCATCTACCATGTGGCTTTTGTAATGTCCCTGGCCATACTGCAGATACAGCTAGTAAGCTCTGATACAGATGCAAGGCAGATCTTCTCTTGATCAAATCCCCTTTCTGACCTCTGCAGTGCAGGACAGGCTCAGATACCAGTTTGATCCACTTCTGCGAAGTACATGAACAATCCCATACTGCAGGTTCTGTGCGGAGCATTCCACTTCTACAAAACATGTGTTGAGTTTTAAGTCCCCTGCTGCTGCTCAGGGCAAGAATGGAGTGCAGTGTGGGTGAAGAGACTTAAGCAACTTGTGAGCTGCAACTGCCTTGCTGAATTGGGATGAGATGTCTGCAGAATTTGCAGCCCACAGTGAGCGCAGGAGTCTTGGTAGCCACATTGTGCCTTGATATCTTCATGAAATGCAGAGATGTGCACGTCTATCTCTTATACAAGCAGAAGCCAATTTTTCAAAAAATAAAAATTAAAGAGGGCACAGTGACCACAAAGATTATGCAGTGAGGTTCCTTTAGGGGATATAAAATGTTTTCTTTTTCCTGAAAGGAAGAATAGCTTCTCAAACCTCCGAATAGGGGTGATGGTGGTGGGAGAAATCTTATCCACTTTCCATGTGATGCAGAGTGAGGAAAAGTAAGTACTCACTAGGAGACAATTTTCCCATCACTTTGTGCCTCTTTAAAGGCACAGCGTTTTTGCTTGTTTTAAATTGGACATCCTCCTTAAAAAAAAAAAAGCAGAGACTGATGCTCCTTAGCTGGAAACAGCAAATAACGTTTGTTTAAAAAAAATAGTGAGAGCAGCAAGGCAACCAAACTTCAGTGTCCAGAAGAAAAGTCACTTACCAGGTCAGTAGAAGGTGTTGCTGCTGCAACTTGGGGAGAGAAAGATGTGGAAGGAATGGATTCCCCCCAAGCCACAGAGAAGTGCAGCTTTAGCCTATGACCTGGTCAGTAACATGCTGAATTGGACTGCATAGAACATCCAACCCCTCGCCCTTAAGAGCGAGAGCTCAAGACCCGGCTCCGAAAGGCACTCGCGGGGTGGGCGCAGCAGCCGCCTGGAACTTATACTCTCGACCCCTTTTCGGAAGGGTGGAGCCTGTGGCTAAAGCAGACCCCCGTCGAGGGGAGAGAACCGCAGATCCCCCCACCCTCGTTATCCAACACTGGGTTCCCGCTGCTCATGCCAAGGCCGCCCCATGCCCAGCGGGCTGCTCCCTTGCAGGCTAGGCTTCCCGGGGGTCGCTACCCCCAACGCCCCTCGCTCTTTCCGACAGATATTTTCTTGCCCTCTTTCTCTGCCCCCCTCTCCCTCTCCTTCGCGCTCCCTGTCTCTCCCTCTCTTCCCCCAACTGCCGTCTGGTCCCTTTTACAACTCCTGCCGTCTCCTCTATTTCCCTACTCGTAGCTCTGCTTTTTATACCGGCTCGAGCCGGTCTTTGCCGGCGAACCTGGCGCGCGCAGTAGCTCAGCAGCGCCATGTGCACGCCGGCCGCGGCTTTGCAACTGCTGCAGGAGAACTGGCTGCTTCCGCGTGCTCGGCGGGGCGGAGGAGCGCTGTGTGCGCGCTGGGCGGCGGCATGGGTGAGGACGAGGGGAAATGCAAGACCGCTCTGCAAAGCTGGGAGAGAATGAGGCGCTTGTGTGGAGCTAGTGAGTTGTCTGCCTGCGCCACGTCTGCTTTTTTATTTATTTATTTATTTATTTATTTATTTCAAAGCCACTGCGCCCCCCCCCCCCATTCTACACGTCCCCTCATTCTTTGAGAGAATTATCTAATATCTGCGCCTGCAAACGTCCTGGTATCTCTTTCGTAGTGTCCCCCTTTCGTTGTCTCTAAGGGGCGATATCGGTCTCTCTCCCCTCCCTCCAATGAAGCGTATCCCGAAAGAAGAGAGGTGCCGACGTGACAGCACCTAGGAAGTAATTAATGCAACGGAACTTTTGGGAAACGATGGTTAGGAACTGTAGGAACTGGATTTGCAGCTTTTAGAGACTGTGCGTGGCGGAAAAATCAGAGGAAAGCCTCACTAGAGCTTCCCTTTAATTTCGTGGTGCTCCCACGAGGTTTAAACGAGGTTATGGGTGTGCTCAGTACCCCCTTGTCTGCCTCTCATGCGCACGGCTACCAAATTGTCACCGTTCATTCACGGCTCAGTGGAGCTTTCCCTATCAAGTTTATTTATACTTTTATTTCTCGGAAGCTTCGGCAACGTCACATCCCGTGCCTCATTTCTGTTTCGAGGGGTTCAGGGTCCTCTATTCCTCCCCTCCCCCAACTTAAAGCGTGAATTTGGCGTGGTAGTCCCGGGGATGGCTGCGATGATATAATGAGCGAAGGCAAGCGCTTGAAGTCGCTCCTTCGCTAGGATGAGCGCCCCAGCTTTGCAAACGCAATGTCCTGGGTCACTTAAGGTAAACTGCGGCAAGTCGAAAGGAGGCATCCGCCTGGCTTAGACTGTCCTTCACACACACGTTCTCGCGCTCGCTCGCTCTCTCACCCTCCCCCCATCCATGCATCCTATGAAGGATGCGCCAGTGCGCTCGTTCACTGCCACGCCGTGCGGTCTCTAGTCAGCAGAGAGAGGGGCTTCACTGTCATTCCCCCGCTTTACTAGAGCTCCTGGCGGCAAACACTCCCTGGGAAACAGAACCGCCAAGCGTCCCTGACAGGCCCTTCCTGCGCTGGCTGGCGTCCCCGCAGAAGCATCGGAAAGCTCCTCCTGCAAGTTTTCTAAAGCGTTGCCGTCAGTCGCTGACGGCTCTAATGGCATCAAAGCCGCCTATCTTTCTGAATCTACCGGGACTGATCTTGATCAGCTCCACGAGATGCGTCTGCTGCCCGGTATAAATTGTGGGCTAGGCCACGGGGAGAAAATCCAAAGGAAATTCCTGCCTCAGATTGCACCTACAACTTGCTGAGGGGCTCAGTGTTGAAGAAAGACACTTTTATTTTTTGGCAAGGGGGAGGAGAGATGCTGACACGGTTTGCAAACCGCCTTCCTCACCAGCTTTTTAAGCATTCTGTCCCGGCTAAGTACAGCGGCTTTCCAAAAGATGGGGAACCCGGCGAGCGCCTCCTAGTGGCTGATTGCCGAGCAGAGCCCTCTCGGCCGCGAGCCCTGGCGCGTGCTTCTCTCTGCGCGACGCGAGCGCGTTTTCCTTTCCCAGGTTCCAGCTCGTGCTGCTGCTAGAGCCGATCCGGGCAGAACAGGTTTCTGCCAGTTTGGGTGTGTGGCTGGCTGCTGCTGTGTATGCACTAGAGACTCGTAATCTCCCGGAAGCGGAGCTCTTCTTGTTGCATTGGGTAATGTTGATGACTCAATGGACTGGCAGCGCTTACAGCGCGCAAGGCTAAATCCAGCAGCATCTCTCCTTCCAGGGAGGCAAGTGTGTCTCTCGATGTTTCCTGGAGTCAGCACTTTGCAGTCTCTACACTGAACCCTCGATTCTGCCAGCTTGGCTTTCCGAAAACATCTTTCTTTTATACTCTCCTCCCCCTCTATTTAAATATGCGAGCAAAGTACATTTGTTAATGCTGCCTTTTCTTCTACAGGGACTTGAATAAAAACAGCTTTTACAAGATTATTAGAAACCATTGCCATTTCATTAATGACTTGTGTGAGTTTCTTCACCTTCGTTTGTGCATGAAAATTATCTACCTTTACCACATGGAGTCAGGATGCATTGCAAAACTATGCTAATTTAGTCCAGATTAATTATCACATACATTTATTGATGCAGAACAGCAGTAAGAGGGGTTTATATTTATTTCTTAAAATGTTTATTTAGTGAGTTAACTTGGATTGGAGAGAAGCCACTTTTTAGTGTGTATAAATCTGCTTAGATAGCCTTTGGTTAAGGAAGGTCATCTTTATTTCAGAGCAAGGAATATTAAGAAGATTAGATTTTGTGTATACTTTTAAAAATGCAACATTGAGCTCAGCTGCATAGAACAGCAGGTTCATTTGTATGTGCATTTTCTGTATAGAAGAACTGTACTGGGGATGGTGAGACTTTGGTCCATTTAATGCTCAGAGTCTTGGGGTCAGTGAAACAATATAACAGCTTTCTGTTTACAGTTTTGTTTTCAGAGGGATTCAGCCCAAGCCTGCCTATGTTTACTGAGAAATTATTCAGATCATGTTTAATAGGGTTTGGAAATAAGAATCACTGAAATAATTGTGTTTACTTCTGAGGAAAAATATGATAGGGCTGTAAGTTTGCAGAACATTCCACTGAAATCTGTGTTACTTAAATTGAGTTTAGGATTTCATTGCAGTATTTTCACTGCAGTTCCAGCTGCAGCTGGTTTGTGCAGTTATGATATACTCAAAAGTCTTTGATAATTCCGAAAGTTCACATGTACACACTCCTTTTACTCTTTTTTCTTACAAGTACATTTTTATCTGGTGTCTGGTTAGGACCATTTTAAAATAAGATGAGCTTTATCCAGTTTTAGTGCAGCTGGGCTAGTTGAAGTACATGTCTCTGCCACGTCCTTCTCACAGCAGCCCCATCAGCCACAGAGTGTCAAAGGACCCTGCTGAATGGGATGAGCTAGGGGGAAATCAGGCAGAGGTACATGAACAGCAACTCTGTCAGTGGAAGTCATATCCTAGATTCACCCCACTGTATTTTGAAATCTCTTTGCTTCGGGGCCTGTTGGGGAAGGAGCTTTCAAACTTTCTGAGCTGGAGCTGCTGCTAGCCTATATGGGTGTGAAGCAACTCTTGGATTTACCTGGTTAGTGATCTTGCTAACCACAATAGGATGCAGGGCTAGCACTGGATGATTTGCATGTTAAGTATTGAAAGTATACCTCTAATTTTAATGCATTTAAAATATTAACTAATCAACAGTGCAATTCTAGACCATTCTTTTCTTAAAACAGCACTACCTGAAATCCAAACACAGCAGCCTACTACTTGTCAAATGCATGGCAGTAGCAATTTAGCTGTTGAATTTTGCACTAGCTGCAGTTTTCAAACACTCCTCAGTGGCAGCCCCACATAGAGCACATTTTTGTAATCTAACTGAAAGGTGACTAGATATGCCTCACTGTGGCCAGATCCAACTTCTGCAGCTGCTGGGTGCAGTAGCTGCCTGAGCATCCAGGAGCAATCCCAAATTTATAGGCCTGATTTTTCAGAGAGTATCTAGTCCCATGCAGATCATACCATATTCCTGGGCCTGGACCAGCAGGCTCCGTCTTTCCTGGACTGAGTCTCACTTGCTAGCTCATGTTCAGTTCTTCATTGCCAGACAGTTCAGGATTTCCATTGTCTCCTTAAAATTAGTTGGTGATTTCCTAAATTGTGTAGGAAGGGCATCCCAGAGGTTAGCCACCATCCTTCAAGACCCTCTTATAAAAATGAATGATTAAAAATTATTTTTAAAAAGTTTAAACTGGATTTTTTGAAATAAGATTTCCCCTCAAAAATCATATCTAAAGATAGTTTTCTATTTAAGATACGTTATAGTTCAAATGTGATTCATGAAATAAAATTAGTTTTTAATTATGTAACATGAAGCTGCATATTCATGTAGTGTTTAAATTTTTTTGGTATATGAATTTCATTAATCCATTCACAATGTCATGCTCTTCCAGAGGTTTCCGTAAGATTATTGGGCAATTTTTCTATTTAAAAGATAGCACCACAGTTGCTTGGTTTTCCAATTCTCAAAACTGTGAATTTGTGTCTGCAGAGATTACATGCCTCTTCTTCGCAAAAACGTTATAAAATACACATACAGAGTTGAGAAAAGGACCTTAATCCCATTGTTCCTTTGCAGATTATGTAGGCAGAATCAACCTTACCTCTTAAGTGTAATGTTTTCAACCAAAAAAGAAGAAGAAGACTGTTGGGAGTGGAATAGATCTGCACAAGAAGCTAAATGTGAGGTGGGCAGGGCAAGCAGTAAAAATGAAAGGGAAACCTTTTAATCAGAATACTGCACAAGTCTTTGAATCTTTTTGTGTCTAGCCTAAGGTTTATCATATTATTTATTCCCTGGAGGAAGAAACCTATAATGGCAGCAGGCCATAAAAAAGACCCAGTTTGGGAATATTTCAGTGAAGCTCCTCTACCTACAGGTAAGGCAGGCGTGCATCACTAGATTTAAATCAAATCCACCCTGGATGTGTGTGTGTTGCTTATTTATATCTTGCTTTTTCCCCAAGAGGCTCAAGGCAGCATACGTTGTACTTTGTCTCCTGCCCTATTCCCCTGCCATTTTACAGGGTTCACAACAACCCTGTAAGGTAGGTTAGGCTGAGGAAATTGTGAC